CTTCTCATTGTCGTTGTTTAGGGCTCTCTCAAGTCGTTGCCACAATTTTTGTTGTCACTCTCGCTGCCGCCATTTAGGGTTCTCTCAAGTCACTGCCACGATTAAGGTTTCAGAGCTAGCTGTTACAGAGCTTCACCCTAAGCTTTGAATCAATGACTAAAGATTGAAGAGAGGAGATGATGCTTGCGGCTGAACATAGCAGACGATACTAATGATTGAACGGAGGAGAAACAAGGGCAAACAATCAGGAATAGATGACGCTGGCGAGTGAGACGAAACCAGCTAATCCGAGAAGCACCACCGTAGCCAAATGTTTTGAGGTTTTTTATCATTTTTTTATATTTTATACAATTATTTTTTATTTTTTGCAATTTTTCTGTTATTCTAATTCTAATCTTGGGCTAAAACATATATTTTTTGAAAAACAATTATTGTTTTTTATCATTTTATGTGTTTTATGTATTTTCTATTTTTACCTAAGGTATATAATTTCTATAAATTTTGGTTATCATTTTTTTGCACATTTTTCCTATGATTATTGTTTTTAGTTGAAATATATAAAATTTTGAGTTTTTATTATTTTATTTGTTATTCTGAATTTTTTGATTTTTTTTCTCAAAAACATATTTTTTGAATTTTTTATCATTCATATTTTATAGTAATTTGTATAAATTTGTGCATTTTTTACAATTTTTGGCATTTTACTACAAATTTTTTGTATGTTTTTTGTGTTTCATACAATTTTTATACTTTAATGCAAATTTTGGCATGTTATTTAATTTTTTATATTTTTACAATTTCTCTTTTATATTTTTATTCATTTTTTATTTTCTAAGTTTTTTTCTACACATGAAATATAATTTTTTTACCACTTATTGTGTTTTTTTATGCATTTATATTCATTTAAAAATTGATTATTTATGTTTTTTTTATTTTTGTAGTTTAAATATATAGCCATATGCTTTTATACAATTGGAATCGAGAAAAAGGTAAAAAAAATAAGGGTCTAATTTGAATAATTGAATTAGAGGGTTAAATGGGTGGGTTAGGGTGGGCTAGGGTCAAAGTGGGTTGTGACCCCTCTTTGACCCACGGACATGGGTGGCAAATGGGTTAGTGTGTCAATATGGGTGAGTTGGTACTCGACCCACACCCAACCCAACCCATCCATTTGCCACCCCTAAATGTACTTACCCAAGTAAGTTTTTCCTAGGAAACACTTACTCGGATAAGTATATTTACTTAGGTAACTTATCGAAAAGCGAACGGGACCTTAGTACTATCTAATTGAACAACGAGAATCCAAAGAAACCCACCTACCCTCTCTCTCTCTCTCTCTTTCATTTTCTAACACAAATTTTAGTTCGTGATCTTTGGGGAACTAAGGGACCGTTATTGCTTTTGTGCTTTCATTCTTCTAACTAGTGGGGACCCGTGTGATGAACGGGATTTATTAAGCGAAAACTAAATAATAGAAATGGTCATTTACTAAAATACCCCTTATAGTTTTATCGATTTACTAAAATCTACCCTATAGTTAAAATTTTACTATAGCACCACTTATAATTTGCAATAGATTTAATCAATCTTCCGACAGTGGAAAATAACAGTGTTGACCCTAATGTTCATTTAAATAAATTTAATCAAAAGAAATAAAAATAAAAATATCATTTTTACCCTTTATAAGACACGGGCAACCACTTTATTGGCTATATTTGGTTAATTTTGTTTTCTGTACAAAAAAAATGTTAAGGGTATTTTTGGAATAACAAATCATGGGCCTAATGGCAAAACAAACACTCCTTAGTGAAAGGTTGATTAAGTAAATAAATTGTAAAATATATAGAATGTTTTAATAAAAGGAAAACTATAAGGTAGGTTAACTATAAGATGTGTTCTAGTAAATGACCCTAATAGAATCACATAAGAGTATACAATTGTTTTATATTTTCAACTTTTTAAATAATTAATAATTACTCATATTTTATATACTACTTTTTTTATAATACAAAAATAACAATAATTAATTTTAGTTAGGTTTATTCATCAAACTGATGAAACTGACCAACCCGATCAATTCGACCCGAGTTGGTCAATTTTCTAGTATTTTAGGTCGGCTTTGGTTCAAAAATTTTCCAATTCGACCAAGTTGGATCAATTTCACTTTGGCCATTTGTAAACCAACCAAAATTGAATGACTTAACCATATATATATATATATATATATTTTATATTTTTAATATGGAAAAGTGGAAAGTTTCCCATATTTCTTAGTCTAAAATGTTTTATATCATAAATCTAATTTTTAAATTTATTTTTTAATAATTGCACTATTTTTTAAAATTTTATTTAATTTTTCAATTTAAATCTTTTGAACCGATTGACCAAACCAAAAAAATCGACCAAAACCGATACAACTTGAGTGGGTCGATTTTCACAAAAGGTCAGTCGGTTTCAACTGACCAATTCCCCAACCTGACCAAGTCAATTTGGTTGGATAAATAGCCTATCACCAAACTGAAACAACTCATGAACACTCATAATTTCAACTAAATTAATAGTTCCATCTCTGATAAGTAACAATAGTTTAATCTCCAATAATTATTGAAAATTTATAGCAAAAATACACAATTATTGATAATATATTGATAAAAGAAAAGAATACAATAAGTACTAAAAATATATTAACTTAGTCAATAAATAGTATAATCTAAAATAATAGTTTAATCTCTAATTTCACTAACAGTAGTTAAATCTCCAATAATTATTGAAAGTTTTCTATTAAATAACAAAACAAAATAAATTTATACATAATCATTGCAAATACATTTATCAAAAAACAATAAATAATTACTGAAATACAATAAATATTAATTTTAGTATATATAATTATATAATAAATAAGAATTAAGAGTTTAAAATTACTAATAATTTTTTTTGAAAGTTATTTTCTCGAATTATTACTTGATATAAGTGAAATTAGTTATTTACAACATTATGTAAAAATATTAAATTATTATCGATTTCAATATTATGTTATAGTTTTTCTACTTTTCAAAAAATTTTAAATTTATTACATAATTTCTTTATCTTAACTATTTAAAATCTAGTTATATTAAATATTTTATTATTTAAAATAACCAATTATTCAAATACTTAAATAATATGTAAAATATTTAAATTTTAAAATATTAGTTATTTATGGAATTTAAGTATCCATAAAATCATAATTTATACTATTATTACATAATTTCATTATTAATTTTGTAATATATTAAATTATTATTAATTTCAATATTATGTTATAATTATTTTTTTGCTATAAAGAAAATTTTTATATTTATTACATATTTTTGTTATTTTAACTATTTAAAATCTAGTTATGATTAATATCTAGCTATTCAGATATTTAAATCATCTATAAAATATTTAAAGTTTTTTGTTATTTGAATTTTATTTATTTAAAGCTATTACATATTATTAAATATTTGAAAAGCATTTAAATTGATAATCCAAAAAAACATAATTTAAATTGTTAGTACATAATTTTGTGATATATTTTGTAAAAATATAAAATTATTTTTTGTGTTTTTAATAAACATTTTAAAGTAGTATATAATTTTGTTAGAATATTTAAATAATTCTTAATTTTTTTAATCCAAACTTTCTTTAGATAAATATAGATAAAAAGTAGGGGAGAGTATAAATAGGAATTAGAGATAATTTAGGAGAGAAAATCTCTACTAAATTAGAGATAATTGTGAAGATAAATAGGAATTAGAGATAATTTTGGAGAAAGTGGGGGAGGTAGTTTAGGATAAATTTTAGGAGAAGAGATTATTTAGGTTATTGGGAAAGTGCATCCCATTTGGTTGTTTCAAAAATGACATGGAATAAAAAAACAAAAAAGGAGAAAAAAGGAGAAAATGTCTTAACCATTTTGTTTTATATATAGATAGATAAATGCTCTAAAATTTCAAATACAAGGCTTGCTAGCTTCTCTTTCTTGCAAAACAAGATGATTCTTGGATTTCATAAGGCTCTTTGGCTGTGCCTCTTGATTGTGAATGGATCTGGCAATGTCTTAGGCTCAAGCCAGTAGACACTTACAAGATAAAATTATAAACTTTTTTTTTTCAAATTTTAATATTCGAGATCATAGCTTTCTCATGAAATCCCATGTATAATTATTGCATTTAAAAAAAGAAAAGAAAAAAGGCCAATTAAGAGTCATTGCCTTGTGTGTTGTATTTGTCTAATGTATTCATTTATTTAGATATAAGGCAACATTCATGAAATGATTATAAACAAGCTTATGTTCCAGACAGCCAAACAAAACGGTTTGGTTTCTATGGTAAAACAATTTGACTTTTTTCTTGGTTTTATTTAAAGAATTATCTTTCATAATTATAGAAATTTTCACATTAAATACACGTGCGTGCTGCCCTTCTGTTAGTATAGATAAATGTTTATTATACAAATAAGAAGTTAAATTAAATTAATACTTTTCGACCTAACCATAACCCGAACTTCAACCCGACCCAAACTTTTGAATTCGGTTCGAGCTAACCCGGCCGGCCAAGCAGCAAGCTCCAAAACTCCCACCCTGTACCTGTAGGCTGTAAGTTGTTTCACCTTAATCCATAATACGCATACGCTACTACCAAAAAAGTATTCCGTAATACACTGCACACAGTATTGGTGATGCTGATCTAACGTTTTTGACAGCTCAAAGATCCTTGGTCTCGTCTTTCGAGAAAATCGACCTCGATGCTAATGTTGGACTTCAGCGTCAGCATTCTCGATCTCTTGATTAACGGTTATTATTGTTGGATTAATGTAATACTTATTGTCTTTAATCCTCCGATGGTACATCTCACAGAACCACCAAAAGGTTCATTCATCTCCCTCGATTCCAATCTGACGGTTAATTTGACGTTTGCATGTAAGTCCTATTGAAGGACGCACTCCTTGGGGTTCAGATGCGGATGTCGCGACCGCAGCAGACAAAAGGACAAACGAGTTGCCGAAAAAACCAGGGAAACTGAATTCCAAAATAAATTAAACCGAATCAGATTCTCTCTATCTCTCTCCACAATTATCTCTCTTGAGATTGCACAGTGCAGCAGAATCTGCAGACATGAAGCAACAGAACCCTTCATGGATATTTTCTCTCTTATCTGAAAAGTTCTTCGATCCATGTGTTGTTCATGAGAATGCCAAGAAGAACGAGAAGAACACATTTTGCTTGGATTGCTGTATCACCATCTGTCCTCATTGTCTCAACCTTCACAACTCCCATCGCTTGCTTCAGGTGCCAATGCCTCCACTCTTTTAGTACTCGATATGTCTCTGCGATTTTTCTTTTAATTTCTGAACTGAATTGATGGTTTGGTTAGGTCCGTCGGTATGTATATCACGACGTCATCAGGCTTGACGATATGGAAAAACTGTTTGATTGCGGTTTTGTGCAGGTAAAAGCTCTGGCCTCGACTCTGTGCTTTCTGGTTTCATTATAGAAATGACGATGATTCAAATAAAGTAGGATTTGCGTTGAGGGAAATTTCGGGTTTTCGAGATTTACTTTTACAACACTACGAACTTTCTCTATGTGGAAACCCGTTCAATTATCTTTGGAATTTTTCTGGGTATTGAGAAAGGTTTTGATTTTTAGTAGTTGTTTTTTGCTGCAGTCTTATAGCACCAATAATGCGAAAGTGGTTTTCCTGAACCAGAGACCTCAAACGCGCACTTTCAAAGGCTCCGGTAGCTTCTGCAACAGCTGCGACAGAAACCTTCAAGAACCTTTCCAGTTCTGCTCTCTAGCTTGCAAGGTATTAAACTAAACAAAGCGTAACACAAAACAACACAAGACAGCTGTTTTAGAAAACCGCTAGTTGTTTTCCGGCTCCGGCATGTTGTCTCCTTCCATTTCAGGTTCGGTATCTCGTGGACTGCGATGGATTCGACTGCGAGTACTTACCGTTGTCGAACTTCGTATACGCGCATATCGAGAGAGTGAAGGAGCTCGAGGACGGAGACGGACAGGTGACGCCGAGTTCAGTTTTGGACGGTGACGATGAGATGATGGTTTCTTACCGTAAATCTCCCGGTTCCATCTGCACAAACAGCGATATTGGGTGTTTAACGGTCGGGTGTACTGCCAGAACGGAAAAGGTGACGAGGAAGAAGAGATCGACGAAGTTCGCGGCCGAAAGCTCCTGTTATTACCGAAATACCCCACTCATTTCTTCTTCATCCAAACGGAAAGGAATTCCATTTCGTAGCCCTCTCTATTAGATAGGGGTTGAATTTTGTCTCGAAGTTTCTGTTTAATACTGCCAAGACAAAAAGAAACTGTGACAGAGAAACTGCATGCAAGACCAAATCCAATTAATGTTTTGAGTGGGAAATTAAAGTTAATTGTTTCTGTGCCTTATAAACAGCTAAGCTCTGTTTATTTTTCCTGAATCGAGTGGACAGGGATTCAGGGAAGGGGTGAAAACTGACGGAAAGTCTTACTCCATGGTTGAATGAATTCTACAGGTGGGCCGGAAAGGAGATGTTCAACGGATTTCAATTCTTGGTACTTGATTGACCCCTCGTCCTCGTGCGTAGGAGTGCAACTCAGGCCAGTTGGGTCGGGTTGAAGGTCAACCAGCTCAGTCCTAAAGATGCACATCTCGGGTCGGGCTTGGCGTAATCCGAGGTTGAGTTCAAGTTTATTAATCCTGGCCCAACGCGAGCTTTAACTCAACACAATTCGAGCTGGGTTTGGGTCAGGCTGGGGCGGTCTGGGTTAGTTGGGCTTGGGCGGATTTATCAGGTTTGAAATAAAATATTATTCATCTTTTACTGGGTTTTATTAGATTTTATGGCCCAATTTAATTGTAAAACTGATTAAAAATATGTATAAATTTCATTTACAAATACATATACATACATTATACAAACAAACATATAAATATAATTAGAAAAATAATATTTTTATATAATATACATATGTATGTATTTCTAGGATGAATTAAGGTTGGATCAAACTTGGGTCAGGCTTGGGCTACTGGAGGCGTCAACCCAAGCCCATTCAAGCCCAAATTTTCTTACCCAGCCCATTCAAATCGTGCATAGGTTGGATAGGCAGGGTTTGAATTGGACCTGCCCAAATTGCACCCTTACTCTTACAACATTTGTCAACAACACATTTTCATCCGCCATGGTCCATGGTTGGTCCACTAGCTTATTCAGCGATCGCAAGAAATTGTGTGAGATGCAGGCTTTTAGGTGTACAAACGGATGTATCGGATTCGAATCAAGGTATATTCAAATCTGATTCGACACTGTTTGTGTCAGATCTGATGTAATCCAAAGATCCGATCGGATTTGATAAGACTCGGTTTGAATTCGAATCCTATTGGTAATTCATATCTTCGGATCTGATCTGGTCCAACTTATTTTCTTTAAAAATTAATAAATTATTAAAATAAAAATAAAATATACTAATTTAAATAAAATAAAAACAAAAAAATACAAATATTTTTTAATTTTCATCATATATATACATTTTTATACAAAATTAATTAATATAACAAATTATAAAAATATAATATAAAATATATTTATAAATAAATAAATAATATACATATTATATATTTATATTTATAAATATATAATATATATCAGATTGAATCAACTCATATCAAATAAGGGTAATTCGAATCCAATCCAATTTCTGATCGAAACCCATTATCCGATCCAATCTGAAGGGGTGATTCAAATTTGATCAAATAAAATCGGATCTCTAATAGAATTGGATCATGATCCGATCCATTTGCTTCCCTACAAGCTTCTCATCAACCAATTCATTAGTTAATGAATTTCCTGGGCGGTCCGTTATAAATGCAAGCGAGTTTAAATCTTGACCTTGGGAGGTAAAGGCACCCAGAAAAAACAAATGTGGGAAGCATAGGATGGATTTGGGACAATCCGTCTAGAAAACATTATCCACGTTTCCCACAGGTTACTTTAAAATTCTAACATTTTGGCCTCATTTGCGTCTCAGCAAAGCCATCTATTAGGGTAAATACACCTATTCCGAAAATCCGTCTAGAATCATAATTGGATTCCGATTATTGCTATATTGTTTATTGGGAGTTGGAATTGAAATTAACTGAATTTTTTAATTTTGTATTAGTTTATTATTATTTCATTAATATTTTTATGATGATGATGATTATTATTATTATTATTATTATTATTATTATTATTATTATTATTATTATTATTATTATTATTATTATTATTATTATTATTATTACAAGGTAGAGGTTAACTCTACCTAAACCGACCCGATGAACTAGCGTTAGAATCAAATTTGCCTTGAAATAAACCTCAAAATATTTTTAAGGATGTAATGATTTGAATCCAAGCACTCATGGTTGTAAAAGACATGGTCTCATTTTACTATTGAATTACTTAAGTGATTTGATCATTTGTTTTCGTTATAATATTTGAATATGTATAATAAATAATGTAAAAGGTAATATTTACAAAATTTAAATTATAATGATAAATTTTGAACCATATGTCATTATATTATAATAATCTACATATTAAATTACTTAATTTAATCAATAAAGATAATATAAGTTTTAAATTATATATTATCAAGTAAAGTTTTTAAAAGACTTGTCTTTTTTTTAAGGAAGAGAGCAAAGAAATAACAAGTTCCACAGGTAGACCCTAGAATCAACCCCAAAACCACCAAAGTCAAAACCAACACTGAAATCGACCTTCACAATATAGGTTTTGGTTCCAAAAACTTGAAACCTCTTGACTTGGCTTCTCAATCAGTGCCTTTGCAAGCAGGAGAAGATTCATATTTGTTAGTGCATTTGGAGACTAAGCAGCCAGCGACCTTGCCCAAGGCTCATAGCTCAATCAAAAAAATTATAGTTTGTGATAGCTTTCACCACGTTTGTTTTGCCTCTCTTTGGATAGATGGAAGTTATATTACAGAGCAGTATGCATGACAGTATTGGAAGGCTTACGTTTAGCTATATGATATCAATACTGCTTATAAAAGTACGAATGAGGAGGTATTGGCTTATAGAATTTTTCTTTACTAAAATACCCCTCGTCTTGAATTTAGTTCATCTCCACTGAAAGGGCAGAAAATGTAATTAAAAGAATATCATTTAGTACATTCAATTACTCCTTGTTTAGTATCACATTTAAGTCATTAAATAAATTACATTCTCTTTCATTGAATCCAACCTTTATACTTTTGTTTATCATCATTAAATTCCACKGATAAATCCACACATAATAATTATTAATAGAATGAAATTTTATATTTTTAAAATAAACAAATAAATAAAATCATATTTTTCATATAAGTCGTGGGTAAGTACTTCAACCATTTGGGTCAAATGGATAATTTCATGATGTCATAAATAAATAATACAAATTTAGAAATATAAAAAATACTTGTATTTATCATTATTAAATTCCACTAATAAATCCATACACAATAATTATTAATAGAATAAAATTTTATATTTTTAAAATAAACCTAGAAATGAAATCATATTTTCCATCTAGGTCGTGGGTAAGTACTTCAACCCTTTGGGTCAAATGGATAATTTCATGATGTCATAAATAAATAATACAAATTTAGAAATATAAAAAATACAAAAATATAGGAAAAAAATGAAAGTTTTAAAAAAATGGGCACATTTCTATTATTATATATTTTTCATATTAAAAAATAAGTATAATAAAATATATATGATTTTATTACTACYGATGGATATCAAATATACAACTTAATACCAATGGGAAATTAAACCAACTTCCTATCTATTGTTATATATTCACCATATTAAATAAAATAAATGTGAAAATAAGAATTACTTTTATTGATGACGAAATGAAATACATGATTTAAAATTAACCAAAAAAGGCAAAATGGTTTTTCCATACAAGTGGTGGGTTAGTGGTTAAACTATCCATGTCAAATGGATCAATACATGATGTTATTATTAAATAATAAAATACATAAAATTCTAAAAAATGTACAAATTTGTCAATAATTTTGGATACATTCTATAATATTATATATTCATCATATAAAAAGTGTGATTAATGAGAATTATTTTCATTAGTGATAGAAATGAGATAAAAATTATGACAAAAAATAAAGAGCATTAATGTCTAACACATGACCCGACTAACCATGTCAAATGGTTCAATAATTTAATTAGCTAGGTTATCGTAGGCAAGTGGTTTGGTAGGGATGCAAAGAGATTATATCATATTTGAATCAAGGTATATTCAAATATGATATGATCCAAAGATCCAACTAGATCTCATAAATATTGATTAGAATCTGAATCTTAATCGTTCAAGATGTTGGATATATGAATTTGATATGATCTTATTTAATTTTTTTTTAAATAATAAATAATTAGAAGAAAAGTTTACAAAACTGCAATATAAATAACATATATATATATATATAATTGATTTGACCACAACATTAAAAACCAATGTTCAAACAATATATTGGAATTGCATTTCCTCTTGGTAAATAAGTAATTTTTATTATCTCATAAATTAAATAATAAAAAATAAAAAATAGATTTTTTTATAAATTTTATAAAAAATTCGAACATACAATAATATTATATATTCTTCATATTAAATAAAAATATGTTTGAAAAAATAAGAATTATTGTTAGTAAAGATAGAAATGACTAAAATATAAAGAAAAATAGTGAATTAATGTCTTAATCATAGTCAATTTTCCTAGTTAAATAGGTTAACAGTTTAACTAGTAAGGTCATTTGGTTGTTGATTATCATCATCATCATCATCATTTAATACTACCATGTGCGAAAATAAGAATTACTTTTATTGATACTAAAAATGTAATACATGATTTAAAATAAATCAAAAAAGAAAAAAATGGTTTTTTCATCCAAGTGGTTGGTTAGTGGTTCAACTATCCATGCCAAATGGATCAACACATGATGTTATTATTAAATAATAAAATACATAAAATTCTAGAAAATGTTGAAATTTGTAGATAATTTTGGGTATATTCTATAATATTATATATATCCTATAAAAAAAGTGTGAGTAATGAGAATTATTTTCATTAATGATAGAAATGGGACAAAAATTATGATAAAAAATAAAGAGCATTAATGTCTAAAACATGATCCCACTAACCATGTCAAATGGTTCAATGATTTAATTAGCTAGGTCATTGTAGGCAAGTGGTTTGGAGGGATTAAATTCGATTCGATCCGAAGATCTTATCGAATTTCATAAATATTGATTCAAATCTGAATCTGATCAAGATGTTGGATATCCGAATATGATACGATCCGATTTAATTAAAAAATCATAAATTATTAAAAAAGAAAAGAAAATATAATAGTTGAAATAAAGATAAACAAAAAATATATGTGTTTTTCAACTATTTTCATCATATAAGAAGTTTACAGAAATACACACACACACACACACACATATATATAATATGTATATATGTATATGTATATATAATTGATTTGACCACAATATTAAAAAGCAATATTCAAACAATATATTGGATTTGCATTTCCTCTTGGTAAATAAGTAATTTTTATTATCTCATAAATTAAATAACAAAAAATAAAAATTAGAATTTTTTATAAAAAATTTTGAATATGCATTAATATTATATATTCTTCATATTAAACAAAAATGTATTTGAAAAATAAGAATTATTGTTAGTAAAGATATAAATGGCTAAAATACAAAGAAAAAAAAATGAAATAATGTCTTAATCATAGTCCATTTTCCTAGTTAAATAAGTCAATGATTCAACCAATAAGGTCATTTGGTTGTTGACTATTATCATCATCATCATTTGATATTGCCACATACAACACACGTGCACTTTTACTAGTATTTATTAATGTGACTAGATTTTGACTCTCTTGCAATTGTTGTAAGCTGGTGAAAGCGTTAAATTGTGCAATTGAGTCATGCTCAATTAACCTTTGGTTTATTGAAATTATATTTTGGATGAGTTTAAGGTAGTGTTTGAGAACACTTAAAAGAAGTACTTCTTTTAAGACATGGGACCACACATTAAGTGGTTTTAAAGTACTTATGAGTATTTTGTAAAAAAGTGGGGAAGTACTTTTTTTTAAAGAAGTACTTCTTTGAAAAAGTGACTTCAAGTTGGTTCTTTTTTATCTCCAAAAAAATATGATGAACCAGTCCCTAATAAATTTTTATAATGCCTAAAATACCCTCGTGCCTAAAAAGCACTATTCATCATCTTCTTCCCCTCGACATCAACATAGTGTTTACTTTCATTCTTCCTCTCTCATTCTCTCTTACCCATTATGATCATCCCCCTCTCTTCCCTAACGAGATAAAAGGAGATTTTCACCCCTATTCATCGTCTTCTTGATGAGAATAGGGGAGTCGCAGCAATGACAACCTCCCCCCTCTGATTTATTCTTCCAGTAGTGAATAGGGGAGTTGCAGAGAAAGTTTTACTACCTGTTGGGAAGATTGTCGATGAAAGTAAGGAGCATCTTAAGCTTGCTCCCTAATTCCCTCAATACACCCTACCTCAATCTTCCTATTGACGTCAAACATCCCTCCTCTAATTCCCTCAATACACCAACCACTCGGTTGCACTTCCACCAACTCTTCACTCATCTACCAACCAATATAGCAGCAATCGTACACGCCACTACCACACAACTCACAGCCAAACCAAAACCCGCCTTCCCCATCTCCACCTCTCGCTCTCTCCTTGCTTCAAACCAGTCGAGTCATCGAAACAATATAGCCAACAAAACCACCCTTCACTCCACTCCCCCTCTTATATCTCCTTCACTTCAACTGGTATCAACGGATTGCTTTTTCTGGCGGCAAACCCGAAGAACCTTCACCGAAAATCTGTGAGGACGTACTGTTCGACTAGATGCCTAAGAGAATTGCTATTGTAGAGATAAACAGATGGCGAGAAAGAAGAGAGGGAGGAAGGGAAAAAGTTCTTTGTTTCCTTTTAATTATAATTATAATTATTTATAATTCTTATTTTTATTATTTTATTATTATTATGATAGTTATTTATTATTATTAATTGGATCCACATGGCAATTCACGTGGGATCCACGTGGGCTCTCAACTGAAATGTATAGTATAACATGTGAAAAGCATTGTATATATGTATGAGTGAAGTGAGGGCTAAAATTGTCATGTCAATATAAGCACTTATGGGGAAAGTAGCTTACCAAATATTCCTACCCCAATAAATGCTTAGAAACATAGTGATTTGAAAAGTGGGTTACCAAACAGCCTTAAATAATTGTTAAAATAAATATTTCTAAGAAGTACTTATAAAACACACAAGTACTTAATCATCAAATAGGGCCTAAGTTCTTTGAAGTATTAGGCGCAGCGTTTGGTTTATTAAAATGATATTTTGGATGAGTTTAAGTTCTGTGAAGCCCAGGCCCGAAATTTGAGGACCTATGCGAGCCCGGGCCTGAACACAAAACCTAGCCCCAAGGCCCAAGCTGAGAATTTCCGGGCCGGGCTGGAATGATCACCCCCAGAGAGTGTCTCTCTCCACTTCTCCAGACTCCTGGTCAAGTGCAAGTGGTTTGGGTGAGAACTGAGAAAGCGAAAATGGAGAGCTCTGTGTGGAGGCGACTGAATTCTCTTTCTCGACATCTCTTACTGCAATCTTCCGAAGATAATAATCGGGTTCTTCTACCTGTAAGTTTCAAATTCTCTTCATTTATCTTTTCACTTTATTACTATTATTCTTGATGATTTCCTTTTTTTCCTTTTGCATTTTTAGAATTTTGCGAGGGCGGAGCAAGTACAAGATGTGGAGTCAGAGCCTGTAATTATCGGAGGAATGGTGTTAGACATCCATGCTACTCCTTCTATCCCCGCCAATCCCAGGACCACAACTCCTGGCAAGGTACCTGTCTTCTTCCTTTGTTTACAGTAAAAGAGAGCAGAAACCTATCAGAACTCAAAGTTGCTACAGTCAGTTTCTTGATAGTTCTGGTGTATTTCAAATGTCAAGCTTAATAACTCGTCGATTCTCGATTTTGCATTGCTTGATACTGTGAGATCAACACCACATTACAGGAGCTGGAAAAAGGAGGTGGAGAAGAGTGGTTTTGGTTACTCAGCACAAACAGAATAGGGCATTCATTGGTATTTAGGAGTTCTAGGCATTCTTTTTAATAGATTAGATCATGCAGAACATTGAAAAGGAACTGGAAATGTTCTAGGACTTTATGCTGCCAAACTACCAATGAAAGCATAAACAGTTGCATGCTCAGTTGTCTACCAAGTTGCATTTCTTGTTTTCCCGAAATGCCAAGGAGATGCTAAGAATGACAAGGGATGGTATGGATCTACCTATTGGCTCCCAACCCAGTTCACATGTATAAGAGCTCTCAGGGGATAACAGTGGATGAGTGGTCGAAGTATCAAACTATGAAAATATTGCCCCAAAACTCTCCATGCTTAGGTGAATGGCAGCTTCATGAATTACTCGATTATTTGTGAAACCAGTACTGTTTTGCTGATTATAGATGAAATAGAGCTAATGTATCAAGGGTCAAGATTGACAAGTCTAATTTCAGAAAAGATGCACAAAGTGATTTTGATTTTACAGTTCTTAACCATTAGGGATGGACATGAGATGGTACCCTCACTTAGCTTACCGAGTGATGGAAATAAAGAAAATTAGTACAATCACCGGAAAGGATATTTGTGTTTTAAAAACGAGGAAGTTAGAAGCAAGCTTCTGAGTGCTGTTAACTGGTAATTTTGCTAGTGATGCAATGCAATGCAAACCACAAAATAGCAGCGAATTACTGGACTTAACCAAAATGAAGAACTTTTCATGGAGGTTATTGTAAAAGAAAGAGAGAAAAGTAGGATAACTGGTTGTGTCTGTTGTCTTATTTTAGAGTCTTACCAATCCAGTAAATGGTGAAGATGGTCTTAGAACCACCTTCAAGAAGATTATCAATTTTCAAAAGAAAACCAGTTGCGGAGTAAGGCTTCTATTTTCTTTTATTACAGAGGAAAAGTTATTGTTGTTTTATTGATTAAAAAAGTTCTTGCTGTTTATTAGAAAAGCTAGGGTTCTCTTGACTGTGGGTGTGCTCATTATAAATCATAAATCCATCTCTATGGTTATTTGGAGCAAATTTCTAATGCAATTCATTCCAAAATTGCCAAACCCAAATTTTTTAATCTAGACCATAATTACTTTCAATGGTTCTGAGCTCTTTTAGGACTATCACCACTTTTTCATAACTCCATAGAGGTGGCTAGAGCTCATCCAGTTCATAGCTAGATGTAGTGCTGTCAATGGGTTGGGTCGGGATCAGGGTAGACCTGGTCCCAAACTGATAAATGTGCAGAACCAGTAATAAACCCAGAACTGACCGAATTATTAGTCAGGATTGACCTGATTATAATTTGTAGCTGTACTTTTAATCTGTAATTTGATAATAAACTACTAAATTGAATGTTTGGTATTAGACCGCAGGGGGGGTCTTTGTAATATGATAATGTGTGTGTAGAGAGTCGATGAAAGTCATGAAACTCTCCTGAGTCTTGCCAGAAGGATTCTAGCATCTTTAAAGATTTGTCTAGATCTCTAAAGGTCTACACCTCCATACTTTGTTCCTTTATCTGTCTCCATGCTTGAAGCACATTAAACAATTTGAAGGGGATAGAGTTGGAAACTCCAACTTTACAGGGAATCATGGTTTCCTCTTTAACAGTCCTTAGGATCCATTATCTTTCTGAAATTTTTCACGAGGTGGACACATTTGAGAAGTTTTTTCTCTGTTTTTCTTGCATAAACAAGTTTTCTAAATGAATAGATAAAAAGATTTTTTTTAATGGTTCCTTTCTTACATACCAAACAATGTCAAAGTAGTTAATTCCATGGTTTTGTTGCTGTTACTTGAAACTTCTTTGTTCAGGTTCACTATGTAACAGGAGGCGTAGCAAGGAATATTGCTGAGTGCATGTCAAAACTTGGGACAAAGCCTTTTATGATTAGTGCTATTGGGCTTGATATGGCAGGTGATTTACTCGTTGTAATGAGTATAGCAATGGATTAATGATTTTTACAAGATTTGTACTACCTTAAACCATATAGGTAGTTCATGTGGCACAGAGACAGTCTGATGTCTGTCATGACTTAATGGGTCACAACTTGGAGAGATTCTAAAGCATCTTCAGATGGCTGTAACCATTTGAATTGCATTCTTTTCAGTTGTTAACAATAGAATAACGATCCAGAAAGAAAGAACCATAAAAGAAGGTACCACAGATAAGCCAATGGACCAACATGATCAATTTCTTGTCTTGAACTAATATTGTTTATTTACCAGGAAGTTTACTGTTGGAGCACTGGAAAACTGCTGGGCTTTCTACAGAAGGTATGCTTGATTAGTTTTTCTTCTTTACATGGTTGACAGTTCTGATGAGTAATTCAGTTCTGTTTATGCATTAGCATTGGTTTTCTTCTGATGCATGAGAGGTCAGATTGGAAATCCTTTTTTGTCTGCACCCCCTTCCCTGCTGAGTTCCTGAAAAGCCTTCTGATTTTGTAGAAAGTTAAATGCAAGTTGTGAAACTCTTTCTTTGCTTAAGGACCACAAAAATATTAAGTATTATTTGCACCAATCAGATAGGCATAGGAGTGGATGGTGAGCACTTAGAAACTTGGTGCTTTTTTTGAGGCATGGACCTAGGATGGTGAGCACTTAGAAACTTGGAATTCTGGGCCATCTATTAGTTGTGATGGAGCTTCAGACAGCTTCCTAAGTGGGGTAAGGAAGGATGTCCACTCTGGCAGAAGATGCCCCAGAATGTTGAATGCACTTCTGGGTTTGAGAATATGGTTTGGTGGTTGGAGAGAGAAATGGCATGCCTTAGAAGATTGCATAGGGTGCCTTTAACCTATATAAGCACCTTCTGAACAAAGGCAAGGTTGATGTGCTGATCATGTTATTCTCATTATGTTAGGTTAGGGTGGTTGGATGTGCTTTCAAGTAGATTGTTTCAGGGGTTGGTGGAAAAGGCAATGGCAGAGGGCATTAGATGCTGCTGTCTTGGCATTTGAGGGGATAGACATCTCATTCTGCTTTCACATTTTCCAACTTCTGGCATCAGTGACTCCATTCATCCAGGGGGTAACTCTTTAAATAGGGGAGTAGAAGATGACCAAGGACATGAGAACTTGGATAGGCTGAAACTTTACCCAGTAACCTATTCATCTCACTCTTCTCATACTCCTTCACTTCCATCTTATCAGGCAATGGATATATGTCTATCCACAGTTTTGTAATCATTTGGGTTCACCTCATCAATGAACTTCTTTCTGTTGATGGTGATGTGAGCAGCTGAGTTGGGACTTTACCTCAACAACCTCCAAGTTCCCATCTCAACCACCGCCATATTTCTTTATGACTCTAATGCTCATATATGACAAGGTGATGGAGGGCACCAACCACAACAAGACAGCTACCCCATCATCATGACGTGACTAACTCCATAGGCAGAGGTGCTACTTAAGTGTGATTATCTAAGAGATCTGGTGGAAAAAAAAAGAATCTTCTTAGTCTGTATGTGTTGAGTTGGTCTTGGTGTGAAAACAGATCAAAGGGTATAATGATGGGTTGTTCTTTGTGGACTATGATGATTCTATGGAATGAATAAGGATGCTTTGTCTCGTAAACCCTGCTACTGAGATAAGGAAGCTGCCATAAGGTCTACCTGAGAAGGTAAATTCAGAAGTTCCCATTGGAGAAAAGAAAAGAAAGAGCTGGCTAACTAAGTCTTTCTTGAATATCTTCTAAGGAAAGTGAATGACTATCAAATAAGCAAAGTGCTAAAAGTTGGTACTAATTTCCTAAAGGTTCTAGTAGCACAAGGCCTGGGGTTCTTTTTGAGGTGTGGGCTAAAAGATGGTGATGATCAGTTTCAAAGTACCCTATCAGTCATGAGGAATGACATAAAACATTGCTCTTGATAGAACAGAATGGCAGGGCAGGATTTCTGTAGCTGACCCCAAATACTTGGGATTAAGGCTGAGTTGAGTATCAGTCATGACAGAGCTGCCAGTGCCCCTGAAATGGGGTAGAGCAGGATGTCTGCACTGGCATAAATCACTTGAGTGCAGGATTTGCCACTAAAATTGGGTGCTTTATCCTAGAGAAAAAAATCATGCAAATGCAAGCAGAAAGGGTGGAAACACTTGGATTGGGGAAGCTGGATGCACGCTTTGGAAGATCAGGAAACTGTGCCTCAGATAAACAAACCTCATACTGGTTTGTGCACCTTAATAAAAGGCAAGGTGCCAAGGTTGGATCTGAATCTTGTCAGGGTGTGAGGTCCAGGAGGTTCGTTTGCTTTCTCAATGCAAAAATCATGTCAGGGGTTTGTAGAAAGGCATTGACAGATCATGGAAGGCAATAGGCGATATGATCTTGATATTTGAGGTTTTGCTACATCAGCTGCCTCAACTTAGCATCCTTTCTTTATAAATCATGGAGAAACTAGTTAACAAGGGCATGCTTCTAAGACCTGCTTCTCCGGTAGCTTCCACATGCTGGTAATCTATGGTGTAGCAATGACTGTGATGCCCTTGTCAAAGGACTTTCTTTAAGGAGCTGACTTGGGAGCCACCTCAACCATCTCCAAATCCCTACATCAGCATTTGAAAAACTGCCTCTACAAAGATGAAAATGAGTAACTGTTAATCTGTTATAAAGAACCAACAAGGGAACAAATCACAGGGAGGTCCATGTTATAAATATTCATCTTAGGCATACATTTCTTTGTTTTTTATTAAGAATGTTTATATTGTTGGTTGATCTTGGCTCAAGAAATAACTAGATGTTTAAAGGTAGTGCCAACTGCCAACCCATTGACACTTGGCTATTTGCAAATCAATCCATGAACATATCATTTGGAGACCTAAACTTAGTTGGATCATTTTTGTCTATGGTTATTAGAAGTATCATTTTTCTACCACATATGATTTGCTCAACAAACTAGTCTACCCTGATATTACATTTTTTTTTTCTGCAAACAGGTATCCAAATGCATCAAAATATTGAGACTCCTGCTGTTTGCAATTTGTTTGACATAAATGGAGAATTGGCAGCTGCTGTTGCAAGTGTAGAAGCAATTGTAAGAAGTTCTGTTCTTATTTTTCATTTAAATTTATTGTTTTGCTGCTTTGTAGGATCAATTAAACCACAAATCCATACTAGTTATGGTGTCCTTGGCACAGGAGAAATTTCTAACAGAGGATTGGATTCGACGCTTTAGGTGTAACATATGTGCTGCACCTGTATTGATGATTGACGCAAACTTGAATCCTGTGTCACTTGAAGCGTCCTGCCAAAGTATATAAAACTTTTCCCTTATTGTCTTTGTCTATTTACCTTTTTGTATATTAATAAGTGCATGGTATTATGGCAGTTCTGAGTTTCTAATTTTCATTGGAATTCAGTAGTTGAATTTTGGAACTTGGATGTAGGTTAAAGTGCGTATAAAGATTACATCTTCCTAGTGTATTTGTATGTATAGCTAGGGATAGGTGATGCTATCATGTGCAGATATTTAAAAAAGATAATCTATTAAAAGTTTTACTTTATGTTACTTTATGTTACTTTATGTGTATATATATCAGATTCAGCGGTTCAGGTACTATATATGTTATGCATACCATTGATGATTGGCGCAAACCTGACTATTCTCCTAATTGAATCTTTATGCTAAAGTACTGACTTTGTAAAAGAAGAGTTGTATGAGTCTTGTGTGTTGTTATGTTGGAGAACCTCCAATTCTTTGTACATAATCTTCTCATGTCTATCCATTAGGTTGGAGAACCTTTATTATTGGCTATTTGTTCAGTCCTCCAATTCACCCTATACCCCACCTCGTATTGGAGGCTTCCCCTAGTGGTATTAGTGATCCAAGGTTTTAATTTTTTAATTTAAATACTGCTTACAGGAAATGGCTTATTTTGGATACATTTTAGGGCTTTCAACTGGCAAACTTACTCCCTCATCATATACATTTGCATAGAGAGAGAAGTAGGGGTGGGGCAGTGTCATTCATGGATGATGGAGCATCACCTAGTTGAAACTACATAGTACTCCGAACTAATCATGTTGTTGGTTGTTAGGATTATCCAATGGTGTTGAAATTTGGTCTATCAAATTCTCTAGATGTGGCCCAAACATTAGACTTTAGAGTGGTATATTATGATAAAGGTACATTGCTACTGAAAGAAGTTTACTTTGTTTTGAGCAGTTAAGAACAGCATGTCCAGAAAATGAGTGTGGCAGAAATGCGAATTGCTTAGATGGATGAGTGGTAAAACTAGGAAAGATAGAATTAGAAATGAAGTCATACGAAGGAAAATGAGTGTAAATCTTTAATCCGATTGCTGGACCTCCTAGGGCAAATCCACTTGGACCTTTCGTTGGAAGACTCTAGAATCTGAGTAGGCTCTCCAAATGGCCTCTTTTCTTGCTCCTCTTTCTTCAAAGTACTTGCTTCCCCCAACCTTCTAGGTGGGATTTTCCCTGTGAAAGAAATTTGGTGCAAACCTATATTCCCCCGAAGATCCAAGCCTTCTGCTGGGAAATATTCCTTGGTAAGGTAAACACTTGTGATATGCTGCAGAAAAGAAGCCCATATATTTGCCTTTCTCCTCATGTGTGCTCATTGTATAAGGAAAGTGGTGAGACCCTTTCTCATTTAATGATATCCTGTTCTTTTGTGCATCGAATTTGGGAATTCTTTTGTACTCTCTTTGGTTGCAGGTGGGTTCCCCCCCAAGATGTGGCAGGACTCTTCAACCATGATTTCTTGAGATAGTGAAAGAAAAGAGGGATGGTAATGTGGAAAGCAACAAAGGCAACAATTTGCTGGGTAACATGGGAAAAGAGGAACAACAGAATTTTCTTGGAAAAAAGTAGAACAATAGAGGAAGTGATTGATAGTATCAAGGTGAAAGTAGCCCACTGGGTAAAACCCTTGGATAGCTTTCAAGTCTACTCAGTCACAGACATTCTAAGAACATGGTCCGAAGTAGCACAATCTTTGAGAGTAAGAGATAAAGTAAGGCTGGAGTGGAAACCACCAGAAGGCAATAAAGTAAATCTGAATTTTGATGGGTGCTCCTTTGGAAATCCAGGCATCTCAGGAATAGGAGGAGTTTTAAGAAACTCTGAAAGGTGGATATTGGGTATGTTCTCAGGACCGATTGGCAACGGAAACTCGCTGAAGGCTGAACTATTGGCATTACTACAAGGGTTAAAGCTAGCCAAACAACTAGGATCCAGACATGTTGAAGTGGAAGGGGACTCAAAAGTAGTAATTTCATGGGCAGCAAATAGCAGCCATACCCCATGGACGTTTAAACATGTGATTAGGGAAGTGGAGAAGATTGCAAAGGAGGTTGAGGCTGAATTTAAATGGGTCCGAAGAAGTGCAAATGAGCTAGCTGATGGATTAGCAAAACAGGGGGCATTGAGACAGCAATTATTTTGGGCTGCACTGTAATGAGGGATAGAATAGAGTGATTAAAGGGGATCAACAGTCCCATCACCAAGTTGTATAAACTGCTTGCAATCTGAATTTTAATAAAATACATATTTACTGATTAAAAAAAAGGAACCTAAGAGTAGCTCCAATAGGTGATAAAATGAGAGAAAGTAGATTGAGATGGTTTGTTTACATGCATAGAAGACCATCTACAGCACTTGTTAGAAAAAAGTGATCTGTTACAAAAAGGGCTCTGGTTGGGACAAAGCTTTAATGATGATGAATGAAAGAACTGTACTATAAGTGTTTCCAATAAAAGGGCTTTGGTTGCAATTCAGTGAATGGTGAAGGTTTGCATTAAATGGTGCATGCCTCTTTTTCCAATGGATTAACTTTTTCTGCTACAGAGTAATTACATCGTTCTACTGCAATCATATGAATGGGCAGCTATTTGTTATTGTCAGTAGCTCAATTTCTCGAAGTCCTATTGATTGTAATGTACTGAAGGCATATTTATATTTCTTTTTTCACCAAGCTTTGCTGTAGTTTCTTTCTCTGTTGTGTACTTTGAGAAATGAGTACCAGTGGAACTCCTTTAGCTCTTTGCTGGTAACACTTTTTGGGGTTAACTTTTTGTAGTTGCAGCAGAAGCTAGCATTCCTGTGTGGTTTGAACCTGTCTCAGTTGCAAAATCCAAAAGAGTTGCTTCCATTGCCAAGTATGTGAGTACTGACATTCTTACAAGTTAATAACTTTTGCAACCAATGTGTTTTAAAAAGGGAAGGTAGCATGTTTTTTTTTTTTTTTTTTTTGGTGGGGGGTATTCATCTCTGGACCTAGGAGGTGCACTTACAGGGGGACCATAGATACCATTTAATGGATCCATCTACAAGATCTTGTGGTTCAATTGTCAGTCCATTTAAATCACTGTATTTGCACAGCTCATTGATTTCTTTGGGATCCTCAGAAATTTTGGATGGTCGGGTGGCCATGATTATTGTACCAGACATAACTTTTGACTCAGATCTTTCTAGCTTGACCATGTGAATTGTTAATCCTGTTTTTCCTTGTGTTCCATGAATCATTTGTCACTAGAATATTTAGGGAGGGTAGCATTCCTATCATCTCAAGAATACTTCCAATCGTGTGACACACTGCTAACTAATTCTCTCTAAACCTGAAAATTCTGGTTGAACCAATATCTAATCAACAATCTTGTTTCCAATATCAATAAATAATTTCCCAGTGTTCCTTTTTTAAGTACCCCAACAAATTGGTAATGGGATACTGCTTCAGAAAATTTTTGCCTTTTTACTCCCTTGAAACTTGAATTAGTAGTACAGGAAAGTTAGGCCCATCTTGATGTATTTCATGTGCAATTGGGAATTTGGGTTCAAGCTCATCACCCTAATTGATACCATACTTTATTCTGTTTTTAATGAAGTTTCTTTCAAATTACATTAAAGAGAAATTGTGGATTTTTTTCTTGACTAATCTAGATTGTTTAAAATTCCAACTATATGTGATGTCTGAAGCAATGCTCTTTCACTCTGGCTCAGTTTGGAAGGAGTACAAATACAAATATGTACAGTACAAATGCATACAAAAATAATACAAAACACAAAGTTTTGTGCTCTGGATTCCTATTTCAGACTAATCTCGTGATTTTCCACAGATAACTTTCACTTCACCTAATGAAGATGAACTTTTTGCCATGGCAAATGCTTTGTCATGTGGGGATAGGTTTGCTCCAATTCAAAGGGTAGATAATGGCAGTTCACAATCCATAGAATCGTATTTCCAACTGCTAAAACCGGCAATCTGTGTGCTTCTAGAGAAGGGTATCAAACTGGTTATTGTGACTCTCGGATCGAATGGGGCATTTTTATGTTCAGGAGGTGGGCCTGACTTCATAAGTCTTGGTTTAAAGAATGCCAAACCTAGCAGCTTGGGAAAATTGCTATATGGACTTGTGACTTCGAGCTGTCAAAATCAGTTTTTTTGCAGTACCGGACAGTTTGAGAGAAGTTCTCACCTTTATGCAGTGCATTTCCCTGCACCTTCTGCATCAATTGTGAGGCTTACAGGGGCTGGTGATTGCTTGGTTGGTGGAACTCTTGCATCTTTATGTGCAGGTTTAGACATGATGCTAAGTGTGCCAATTGGTATGGCTGCTGCAAAAGCAGCTGTCGAGACACAGGCCAATGTACCTTCTGAGTATTCTATGGCTACAATTGCAGGTATGGATGTCTGTTTATGTATTTATTCCTTTTGGTATCCAACAAATATATGTGCAATTACCAAGCTTCCAGAAAACAGAAGTTTGCTAGAAGGGAATTAAGTCTACCGGACAAGTTGATCTCAGAAAAGGACTGAGCAATTTCTTCAGGAAGCGTGACCATTCTAATTTTACAGAAATTAATAGCTTGCTCCTAAAAGCATCCTAGAAACAAACACCCACGTTATGTGAAATTCTGTCTGATAAGATAGCAGAGCAGAATCATCCCAAAGTTGAGATTATAGCATTGCGGGAGGTGAGTGAGGCTGGTCAATAAAGGTTAAAATGGAAGTTGCAGGGTTTCATGTACGGAAATTAGGTTTGTGAGATCTAGAACAATTTGGAGCTTGGAAAATGTTAAAAACGGATTGATTTTAATTTGAACATTTGTGGGAGGTGAGTGAGAACATTGTGGTCCATTTGCTTTTACAGGATTCTGATAATTCAGTCCTGAAGCAATGAGGTGTAATTGAATCCCATATCACTTCTTTTTTCAAAGAAAATAAAACATATCGATTGTAAAGTTTGGTTCTCTTTCTTGTTTCTAGGGAAGAGCTGAGATCCTCTTATGTGAGTATTGCTAAATTGATCTGATCATTTTTCTTTGTGCAGATGATGCCAGGAGAATATATTCGGCTGCAAAAGTTTTGTTTGATCAATCAATAGAGTAACTAGGCGCCAAAAAAAATCAATTGAGTAATACTAGCCTAATTTATACAGTCAGTGAACATAGTTCCCATCCCACTGACTTGGAATTGCTTATTGCCCTGTATATTGTTGACGATTACTCAACTCAGGATCTATATTTTTAAGATTCTGGAAAAGTTCCAATGCTTGCCCTGTATATTCAATACGTTCGATTTCGAATATCGAATGCATTCTCAGAGCAATACTTTTTTTTTCAGGTTGATACTTTACAAACAAATATGCAAGGATGCTATTTAATATTTAAACCCATTATAAAGCCTTAACCATTAATTGGGTGGATTTAAAAGCTTATGCATATCATACAATGTGAATTGATACGATATTTTAAGTGTTATTGTGATTGAGTCATTGAACACTACTAGCATGTACCTCAGTTACGTATTTCAGACTTGGATTATCTATAAATTCTACATCACTCAAGTGGTACACGTTCTCATCATCCAGTTTTAACATCTACGTTTACTAGCATGGACTCTCTCTCTCTCTCTCTACAAAAGGGTGACCTCGTATTAAGTATGGGGCAATTATACTTATATATCGTTTTCTTTTTAATTTATAACTTTGTAATGAGAGTATTTTATTTGAATTATGAAATTGAATTACAAATATTAATATAAGTTCATATCCTTTTGCCATGGATGGTTTTTTTTCAAGTAAACATGTGTCTAAAGTTGGCTGTAACTTGGACTAGATTTCTTTTCTATTGGTAGCCACATACCTAAAGTTAGAATTTTTTTCTAAGAATGGAGTTAATTGTTTTTACTTCTTTTTTTTTAATGTATGGATACAGGTTTGAGAAAAAAAAAAAAGCTTCCATTTTAGAGTAAAAAGTAGTAAATGGATATTGTTTCTTGAAAGAAAATAGAATCAATGTGTCTATATATTAGATCAAATGTCACTCTATATAGAGTAGTTAATTCATCTTGTCTTCATGTCTATATATTATGTACCACTGGTGCCTAGTGGTACATAAAGTCCATGCTTCTCTTGGCTTCATCTCTAGACTGCCATAAGAGGAGTTAATTCATCTTTTTTTCACAACTGTCCTGGCATTTTAACGTAATAGAACTTACCTGCCCTAAATTAAAATAGTCAACATCTTGAACTCTAGTTGGTGTAAATAACAATTATTTACCACTTTATCGTAGCATATATGTATTAAGGATAGGGAAAAAAGTATAAAAATTTTCCTCACAAGAAGGCAATACATAAATTTCATTTAAACCATCCAATCTCTTAAATTATAAATTATTCTACCTCAAAAGAAAAGAAAGCAATATCTAGTTATTGATAAACTTGAGAATCAACCCAACCCTTATATAAACCCCATTGACCTTCGGGCTTTATATAAGGGTTGGGCTTAGGCTCAACATCTAGGCCCGATGGTCGGGTCGGGTTGGGCTTGGGCTTACACATTTTCTGTTGATAAAGAGGCCCATGTTAATTAATAAAATTATGATTTTTTTATAATGTAAAATTTTTATTTAACTCTAGTCTAGTATAAAAAAAAAGATATAACATTTCTATATATATTAATGTAAAATTTGTTTGGGCCCTATCTGCTAAAGCCATCATTGGACTCCAAGAGTTTGATACCAAATTAGACTTCGAATCTGATTATCCCTAATAATGTGTGGGCATGGTGCATATCTCGGATAGACTAATTCAAAAGAAAATAGTTGCTTGAGCTTGCAAATTTATAAATCTAGTAGTTGCTTAAGTTATAAACGATTTGTTACTTTTTATTAATTATTAAAATATTGTTATCTATTAAATATTACAAATATTAAATTATTGTATTTATTTAAAATATAGTAATTTTTGAAATTATCATATTTTCATAAATATTGTTAATTTCTTGGCTAAAACTAATTAAATGTAATTTTCTAGTTATTAAATAACATTATTATTTTAATTATTTATATTATTTGATTTGTAGTATTACTATTCTCTCTCTCTCTCTCTCTTAAATGTCTTTTTTAAATGTAATAATAACATGCATTAAAATAAGAGGCCTTGGAAAATCCAAATCTGTYTAATAGTGTGTAGCTTTATTAATCTAATCAAGATAAGCAATGATTATTGTTTTATATTTTTAAAATAAAAGAAAAATAAGAAAAAAATGCAAAAAATAGAGAAAATAGATAAAATAGTTTCTCTCAAATGAGAGATATGCTGACATGGATAGACCAATTTTAATATATATATATATAGACAAATCATGTTATTGGTTATACATGTGTTTTTTTTTTCAAAACTAAAACCAAAAATATGTTATATTCCTAATTTAGAGAACATGTTTTGTTTCCAAAATTGAAATCAATAATGTGTTCTATTCCTAATTTAAAGTATATGTTTTCATTTATTTTTTTTTTGGTGGGGGTCTCTAATGTGAATTGTTTTTCTTGTACCCAACTCAAAAAACAAAAATAAAATAAAATAAGACCATTTGGTTTGAAGACAAATTGTTTCTCGGAAACAAACATACATAAAACATGTTCTTAGCTATTGGGGGGGGGCAAAAGTTTTCCCTTGAAATTTTGTTTACATTTAAGAAACATAATTTTGATGGTCCCAAAAAATATGATTTAAAATCACATTGTTTAACTTCTCAAAACAACAAACAAAGTTAGATAACATGTTTTTGTTTTCACTGCTCAACACTCTCCCCCATATCATGTTATATAAATCATTTAATTTCTATATTACAAAGTTTGTTTTAATTTTAGAAAACATAATTTGATGCTTTCAATAACATGTATTGTTTTTTTAAAACAAAACCAATTTGTTTTTAAATTTTTTAAAAACAAAAACACAATTGATTAAAAAACCAAGTATTTATTGGTTGATGCAGCAATTTTTAAAAGAAACCTATATCTATATTTATACTAGTATTAAAAGTATAAATGATATATTTTTTTTATTAAAATCCCCATACCTTTCAATTTGGTCTCTCTCTTGTTTTAATGGTATTTGAACTATGGTAAAAGATGTATGGCTGTTTTTAAGCCAAACAGATTATGGAGTCTTGTCGTATAAAGGGTTTGATGATGGGTTCAAAAATGATACAAGAAAGACATGATATCACAAAAAAAATTGTGACCAATCAATTAGTATTGCAAAATGTGTTAACCAAGGTTTCAAATTGGATGGGGCATATTGGCTTTACTACTTTAGTTTTTTGTTTTCACATTTGATGTTGTGTGATCTGGTGCTCCTTATTAGTAGTACAGGTGCTCACGGTTTGGTTAATCAAACTGTGAGGCATGTTTTGGAATCGAATCGATACTACCGGTTTTTAAAAAACTAGTAATCAGAACCGAACTGAAGCCAACCGGTTAACCGATTCGGTTCATCGGTTTTTTAGTTTTTACAATATATTATAAATATATAATAAAAAATTATAATATATAAAAAATAATATATTTTAAATAATAAATAATAAATAATATATTATAAATATATATATATATATATTTATTTATATATAATGTATATTTATTAATTTATAATATATATATATATATATAATATAATATACATAAATATATATAAAATATATAGAAATATATGTATGCCGGTCGGTTCGGTTAATCGTTGGTTTTCTATATTGGTTAACCGAAACCTAATTGATCGGTTCGGTTAATCAATTTTTCGGTGTTTTTTTTTTCTCACTCCTAGACAGCTTGAATCCGAGATTGAGTATGTTGCCTAGTCAAGCTGCAATAGAAAGGTAATCAAAGTGTCCGGGTTGCTTTACCCAAGGTGGGCACTCCGATGCTTAAGTTAGCAAACTATATGTTTTAATTGCAATAAAGTAAGAGAGCTAGAGTGTTGTGAAAGATAAATCACATGTACCTCTTTTGTGAAAGGGGATGCCTTTATATAATCCATTAGTTGTGAGCTCCACAAAGTGCATCTGAGATCTCCAACCGATCTAGTTTGGATGTGGTTTTACGTTCTGAGATGGACTCCGCGTAAGTGGATAGTGCCTATCCAGGCGTGCCCAAAGCAGGTAGGGCGATAACCAGCTCTTTTTGATGTGGTGTTGTGATCTCGGGAAAGTCGGAGGTGACATCTCACTTGAATAGGAGCTTGCCTGTCATGTCACACAAGCCGATAACTGAGTGATTACCAAGTCAGTAGAAGCAGGGCACCCCTTATGCCAACCTAACGTCATTTGGTCTAATTGCAAGTAGGAGTTTGCGACAGCGGCAAGGTGATTGTTGTGCTTCCAAAGTCTACTTATGTGGTGCTAAGTTGTCATTTTGGCGGCTTTGTGGAGCCACATGTCACGATGTCAAGGGAGGGCCAAATCCGCCCTCACCAACATTGGTTCAAGGGGCAGTTATAAAATCCCTGTTGGGATTCATGTATGAGTATTTGAAGAGAATCCCACATTGGAAAGGAATAAGAGGTGTAAAGGACTTATATACAAAAGCAACCCATAACCCAATAGCCCAAGCTTTTGGATTATATGTGGTCTCCCTCTTTTGTGTACAAGTCCTACGTGTGTATGTGTACGAGCCAAAGTCATTGGTTTTGACGATTCCCCTCAATTCACAATAATGATAAGAGCCATTGATTTCACATGTCCCATATTAATTCAAGAGAATCCTACTTATATACAAGAGTGGCCCTTAAGTTAATAGCTTAATTCATAACCAACTAAAGTCCAAGAATGATTACTGTAGAGGCATATTAGAGGGTCACCGATACAATACTTTATCGGCTAATATCTGCACCATTTATAAAAATGTGGATAGTAACAATTTTTAGCCAAAAAGCCTGATTTTACTTTCCCTTTTTACCTTTATGATTTTTGTTTTTTCAGTAATTTATTTAACTATCATGATTMCTGGGGCTGTATGCTAATTTTTAGTCAAAAGGCTGATTTTATTTTCCCTTTTTACCCTTTGTAATTTTTCTTTTTTTCCTGTAATTTATTCATGAGGCCATATGCTGTCCATCAAACTTTTTCCAACGATAAAAAATGAGAATGCAAATGGTTAACAAGGTTGTATCTTAATTTTACTTTCCATCTTTACCCTCAATAATTTTTGTTTTCCAATGTTCTTTTTTGATTATTCAAGTATTTGATCTTATCATAAATGGCCACGTACACTCTCCGGTGTTGACCTTGTTGTTACATATTTTCATTTAACTCATTGCAACCGTCCATAAATTCTCATCAATTACACACATGAAATATAAGGACTGCTAAATGGTGATCGGAGATCCCATAACCAATAATCTACCGTTATTTATGTTTTTTCTGTAATCATCTAAACACCAAATTCTCTCTTAGGATTAACATAGTGCATGTGAAATCATCTAAACACCAAAACTTGAAAAGAATACAAAAGAAACCTCTTATTGAATTAATATTAATTTTAGTTAGATAATAAGAATCTTATTATGGGTTTGAACCATTCGAACCAATTGCAAAAGAATGTTGCAATTGGTTTGGTCAATTGCAAACTAATTGACTAGTTCGAATCGCTCAATGGTTTGGCCAATTTTTATTTTTTAATTTTTTTTTGTCAGATGAAGCCATTCATTTGATTCGAATGGTCAGACCATTCGACCCGAGAACCGGACCCCTGATCAGTTCGTTGTTTGGTTTGATTTTAAAAACCTTGGACAAAACACCTTGACTTTACTTTTCAACTTTACCCTCAACTATTTTTTGCCATTGCAAAATAATTATGAAAAATCATAAAATGAAGAAAATAATATAAATTACAAAAAAAAACAAAGAAATACATAGAAAATTTACTAAAAAAATGAGAATGCTGCAATTGGTTTGGTCAAAACACCTTGATTTTACTTTCCAACTTTACCCTCAACTTTCTATTTTTTCCTGCTGTATATATGTCATTACAAAATAATTATGAAAAATCACATAAAATGAAGAAATAATATAAATTACAAAAAACAATGAAATACTTAGAAAAATTACAAAACAAATATAGAAAATCATAAAATTTGATGAAAAATAACATAAATTATAAATCTATACCATACAGAAAAATGAAAATGTTGCAATTGGTTTGGTCAAAAAACCTTGATTTGACTTTCCAACGTTACCCTCAACTTTCTATTTTTTTCCCCATGTATATATTGTCATCGAAAATATTTGTGATAAAACACAAAAAAAAATGAAGAAAATAATATAAATTATAGAAAAACAAAGAAACATAGAGAAAATTTACAAAAAAAATATAAAAATCATAAAAATTGAAGAAAAAAACATAAATTACAAAAAAGGAATAAAACATAAATTATAGAAAATGAACAAAATTGTAGAATAAAATAAGAATTTATATCTACTACCATATAAAAAAATGAGAATAGTTCAATTAGTGTGGTCGAAAGACCTCGATTTTTCATACCAATTATACCCCTTAGTTTTTTGGTTTTTCCAACATATCCCAATTCCATATGAGGGTGCATGATAATAGTTGGCAAAAAAAAAACCATTGTCCTTTCTAAAAAGCCATTGGGTGGGAACCTGACCCATCAACTCGTTAATGACCCATTTTAGGTTCAACCCAACCCAACATGCCCAATCCATTAATTTTCCACATAATAAATAAATTCTAGAAAAGTATAACTATAAAAAATACATAATATACAAATAAAGATAGAAAATGTAGAAAATAACATAAATTAAAGGAAAAAATCAAAATGCAAAATAATTATGAAAAACATAGAAAATGAAGAAAATAATATAAATTATTAAAAACAAAGAAATACACAAAAAAATTAAAAATCATAAAAATTGATAAAAAATAATAGAAACTGCACAAAAAATACAAAAAATTCATTCCATGGGCTCTAAACATGTTTGTCAGTTGGGCCTACGTCTTATACGAGCATTTGGCCACTAGGATTGTATGTTATCATGTGTGTGGTTGCAGGACCTGCAACTCATTTCCTCAGTCATAAGTAACACCGTGACACATTATGAGTCGTTCAATTGTTTTATTCTTTGACAAATGTGCAGAGGTGATCAACGTGCGTAGAAGGTGTTTGCATACATGTTACTCTAGTGGTTGGTTGATAAATTTTGCTTCCAATTAATTAATTTATTTCCTTTTTAGTTAAAAAGTAAGAAGAAAATGTTTTAGGCTTAAATGTAAGTTATTTAATAGTCATCTTAAACAATGACTTCTGCTATTCAATAGTTAATTGAGTAAATTAACATAATATAGCTTAGTTTACTTCTAACCATTAATAGTAATTATTTTCATAAGTTTTAAGTTATTACAAAACAAGAGATTGGTTAAGAGTGGCATCTCCAATTCTCCATAAATTTTGTGTTTCATTGGGATGAACCGTATCTATATATAATGTTGTTGAATGTAATTTTATAATTGATTTGGTGCATTAAACTTAGTTTGGAAAGAGTACAAATACAAATATGTACCACACAAATACATATAAAATATAAGGTTTTGCACTCTACATATTTGTATTTATACTCCATCCAAACTAAGTCTTAATGTTTCAATCTCATGCATTTGCAATCAACATTTTATATATAAAATTCAGATCTTGATATTTTGTGAGTATAGTCCTTTTTATGTATTATATAATTGTTTTAGGACTTGTATGGTATGAACTTTCATCTGTGCTTAAGATATAAAAGCATAGTCAAATATCACCCTCACCGTCGATATCAAATACCCGTACATTGCACGGGCCATTCCACTGATATCTAATAAGATACAAAATTTTAATCGTTGGTGTCAATCAATCAGGTCGATTTTTTCAAAATTCACGATGGATTTTGATTGAACAAAATTCAAAACTATTTCGGTACCATTATTGACGTGTCACAAAATGTGTGAAATAAAAAAGGAAAAATCCCTCCGCACTGGATCCGGACCCGATTGACTGGATCGTTACCAGGGTAATACTAATACCCTACTTCATCAATCCCCGGCACGGTTATTGGTTTAGGACTAGGACTTGGGATTAGGATTCCCACGGTGGTTTTTTTTTGGAGCGAAGTTCTGCTGCTAGCCCTAGAACAGCTTCGAATCGATTTCGCCGAAACACTGAGTGAGGACGGAGAGAACTCGAAACGAAGGCAGAGAGGAAAAAAGGGTCTAAAAATGCCGGATTACGGGGAAAGATACGAAGGAAATGGCGAGGGTTTCAACGATTACAACTCTTCTCCTCTACAGAGACCCAGTAGCCATGGAGGTCTCGATGATTACAGTGACTCCAAATCTCAGGTATTCGCAAATTGTTTTTGTTTTTTCCTGTTCCGTTCTCTTTGTCCTCCCCTCTTTCTGCGTTCATACGTAAGCGTTGTGTATTGAGGGGAGGCGCGGGTGCTGAGTTTAAAGGGTTAGTTTTATATCCCGGTGTTCCCGTGGTATTTTTGGGTTTGACTTGTAACTGAGACTGTTGCCGGGTTTTCACCTATGTCTGGGAGCGCTGATAAGATTTTAGGGTTCGAGGCGATCAACGTCTGTTTCTGGTAGAACACAGTAGTTCTACGCGTTTCTTCTACAGGGGAATTTCCACAAGGACACTTCAGTTGGCGCTAGGGTTATCACCAGATCAGACTGTGGTTTATATTTATATTAGGTATTCAGGGTTGTTTTAGGGTTTGGAAATTAGTTATAATTTACACTATGCTGGGACTGTTTCCGCGTAAAAGGTGCGGGAAAAGTAGTCTTACGCCTTATGCAATTAAAATGAAAAGGGGCAGAAGCTCAGCATGAAATATTAGCGGAAGGGAGTTCCTCTAGTTTAAAATGCGCATAATAAATTGGCCAATTCATGAAGCTACTTGCAAAAGATTTTACTAGAGCGGTATAGCCCCTTTCAAATTGTTGTAGTAGTATCTCTGGATTATATTGTATTCTGCTTGAATTCGAGGTGCCATGCAAAAGGAAGAAAAGCTGATTAACATTTCAGGGCCACGCTTTTTGACTAGGCATGCATTATGTCTTTCATTAAAGAGTTCTTCATTTGGTTTGTATACCCTTCTGTGAACAATGCATTCATTCAGATTATTCTACCAACTAACATGTTACTGGAAGCTGTATGATGCTTTGCCACGCAAACCCAAATATTGTCTTGTTAAATTCATGTTTGTGACATAAAATCTCCCTGTAGGAAATTTAGAATTCACAATACATGGTAGATGTTGATTTATGCATGCCATTGTTAAATTCATTCATTGATGAGTCATGCTAAGCTGGTCCATAGGGTCATGATGAGCTGCATTTGTTTACAATGTAAAAATTCAGATTGCATGATGGTGCATTGGGGCTCATGAAGTCATGATGGTTATAGGCAGTGTTGCATGGACACAGACACGGGAGTAGGAATCTGACACGTCCAAGAGTCTGACTCTGCAAGATGAGAAATGGACTCACAAACATGCCTATGGAAAAGTATATACTATTAAAGTAATTTGTATCTTTTGAATTCTGATGTTATATGCCTGCAAAAATGTTGCTTGTGTTACTAAGTGAGGTTTGGTACAACAAATGGATTCATCTTGTAGATTATCTGTTCATTTATGTTGAACAAGCAAGGAGATAAAAAGGAAAGTTATGTAGAAGTGCCCTCAAGAATCCATGGAGTTTCGAACTTGGATACGTGTCCATGATGTGTTGTCCATTTAGGAGAGTCCATGCAGCACCGACTCTAAGGACTGGCTTAGTTTTACTCCTCTATTGAGTTATAATGTTCCTGCATAGAATAGAAGAAAGATGAATAAAGTTGGATATATGAAAAAAATGTTGGCTGGTTAAATCAATTATTATAAACAAATAAACAATGATTTAAAAATTGATCCGGATATTCATGGATTGAACAGTTCCACTGCCCATAGTGTAATGCCCAAAACTGTCAAAAATCTGGGATGCAGTAGTTATCTGGTTCATTGGTGCAACCAAGGTTCAAAGTATCGATACGTATTGGCCCGTATCAGCCGATACTATCGTATCGGAGCCTTCCCGATATGCCCCTCCAGGGGGTGTTTCGGGTTGGCAAGTGGTTCAGGGGGTAGACTGGCCTTAAACCGGCCCCTCTGAACCAGATTCGGAAAAAAAGAACAAAAAGGAGTACTGATACTGGCCGATACGCAGTATCGATACTTTGAACCTTGGGTGCAACCATCTGGGTCAACCAAGCTCGGCAACAATGGTTATGAACTTTTTACCCCATGGGTGGAGATTTAGATTCTTTGATTAAGGAACTTGGAATGACATTATAGTAGGAGGAGATTGSCAATTGGCAGTAAATTGTATTCCTCTCTAATCTTAACAGAAGAAGGGCCTTGGAATTCTTGATTGAGGAAGTTAGGACTTTGGTGTCCAATCTGAATTGTTCTTCAGTTGGGTTCCAGGATTGGTGAATGGACTGTCTGACAGTTTATCAATGACAGGTGTTAATAATAGTAACATACAATGGGGATTGCCAGGCTTGGGGACAGAAGTGTATATGTCAGCCAGTGTCTGTACCTGATGTTTATGCCAATTTCTCCTGTCATCCGGAGAAAAGCGTTCTCTCTCTCTCTCTTGATAGATAATGGTGAAGCAATAAAGGTCTTTCCTCTTACTGATAAAAAAAGAGTTATGTTGGTAGTGAACACCCTTGATGTCATTGAAAGTGAACACACTTGACAGATGTAACAAAGTAAAACTAATGTTTTGCTAATGTGTGCAAACACCGAGATGTATGTATCGTATATGTCTATTGCCTCTGTTCATAAGTCAATTAACCAAAGATTATGCTTGCTTCTCCTTCTGAGTGGGCACTTAAAAACTTGCATGGGATTCTGAAATGATGACATTAATGGCTAAGATCAGAGAGGTAAAAAACAATCAAATAGGTGCCTAAGCAATGCACCATGTTTATGCCATTGACTTCTTTGGTGATAATCTGTGTCTCTGTGTCATGTATTTGAGTATTTATTTTATTTGTTCAGAGTTTGTCCATGTGATCATCTGTGCATTGATTACCAAGCACCTTGTCACCCAGAATGGTGTATCACCTAATGGTTTCAGAAACCTTTTGTACTTTATGTCTAATATACATAATTAATGAATATGGCACTTGTTATTATGATGGTTTTTATGTACCATGCCACAGTCATCTGTCATTGCAAGGTGAACCAACTTCTTGCAGTCTAGCTTGTGTATTGCTTATTTTGGAAATATTGATGAAATGTTATTTATGTGCTGTCATGCATGATAGTGGAATATATAGCTTATGTACTTTTATGTTCTTTCCTCTAATGCTACCAAATATCTGCAGCATGGTTCTCGTGACTATGAAAGGGAGTCCTCAAAAAGTAGGGAGAGGGAAAGAGAAAAAGGAAGGGACAAGGACAGGGAGAGGGATAGGGATAGGGACAGGGACAGAGACAGAGACAGAGATCGGGAACGGGAACGAGACAGAGGTCGTGATCGTCATCATAGAGACCACCACAGAGAACGAAGTGATAGGAGGGAGCGAGGACGGGATAGAGATGATGATGATGATGACTTTCACCGTAGTCGAGACTATGAGAGGTGCAATACAACTGAGTTTGCAGTTGTTTTATCAGTTTCATGTTCACTGACATAATTGCATACACCATCTCATGCTGTGACCTTTTTTGGGGGGGTGGGGATCACCTTTTCTTTCCCTTCCAACCGACCTTAATCAGTTGTTATTGTCTTTGTTGTTGTTGTTATTTGTTGGTTTGGTTGAGTAGGTTTGTTGAAATACAATTTTGCTTTCCCCCCTTATAAGTGGTGAAGTGGATTCTTTCTTGATGCCACGATATTGAGTAGCCTCTGATACCTGTCTATATCTTGATTGATTTATGACTTGTTGCTGCCCTGTAGTTTTTTTATGTATATTTTCAAATATTGTATCAACATTTGGTACAGGAAATCCATTGGCATGCTGAATGTTGTTCTGTTCAAAGGTTTTGCATCAAGATTCCTTTTTTGAGGTTTTCACTGACTTGATGATGACTAACACATACTTTTGGTCTCTAGAACCTAGGCTCGGTATTATTGTCAATTCTAAAATTTGAAAACTTTCTCTATGTTTGTTTGTCCAAATGATATGTCCATGATAATCATGCTTTATCAATTCAATGTTACTGTAGGCGTAGAGATTATGATAAAGATAGAGAAGGAAGGCACGGGCATAGGTCTCGATCTCAGTCCCGGGGTAGATCTCATCATAGATCAAGATCTCGATCCCGTTCACGATCAAAGAGGTAGATCGTACTACACATGACAGTTCATTACAATGCCTGCTGAGAATTATAATAGAAACATCATCCATTTTATTTCCTAAGTTTCACACTTTTTTTTTTGTCTTTCAGCAATTTTCATTAATGTTTTCTATTGTGTAACCATGTTGGATAGGCAACTCATATAGCTTTTCTACATTTCCTCAGATCAGCTGCATGTCAATTAACCATGCTGTGCCAACAATAAATGCATGATCAGTTGCATGTCAATTCACCATGCCTCTGATGGAACCACTTGTATTTGAAATGTAATAGCTACGCTGATAAGAGACTCCTACATGCTAGTCTAATCAGACTTTCAATTAAAGCTGTTACCAGTTAGACATAAAAATAGGCTCTTATTCCAATAATATCTAATTAGACTTTAGAGGTATTAAATTTTAGACTTCCAAATGCCACCATGGTAAATAAACATACTATATGCATGTTTATGAACTTTGACTAAACTTGTATTAGATGCTGAATTATATACAGGTACAGACATGGAATTTTTTTTTTTGATCAGCAGAAAACAAAATTTATATTCCCTTTGCAGATGTGGGAGTATTTTATAATACATAGTATAATACTTTTTTTTTGATAAATGAGAGTGGTTTTATTAATTCAAAAAATAGTAGTACATTCAGGCTAGGAAGAGGCACGAGGTGTTACCTCCCCCTAGGACCGAGTCTTAAACACTAAACAAACACAAGCCTGAAACACAGTTACAAAGTGGCCCAAAACAGATCTCACCTTGACACCCCTTGCTTGGCCAAAGAATCAGCCATTGCATTTGCTGATCTGCTGTCCCACTGAAACCTGACTGACATATTCCTTGTCAGCCATTTAACTTTCTTTAACAGATCCCTGTAGCCCCAACAAGCTGTCTCTGGACTTGTCAACCAGCTCACTACTACCTTGGAATCCCCTTCTGCTATCAAATTATTTGCTCCAAGTTGACTGGCCATCTGTATACCTTGTACCGCTGCTAGTATCTCTGCCCTTACAGAATCACCAACACCCACTGGTCCTGAAAATAAAGACAACATGTTGCTATCTTTGTCTCTCAGAATCCCTCCTATTCCAGATGGCCCTGGGTTACCTTGGCAGCTACCATCAAAATTCAGTTTTACCACTCCATCCGGTGGGGATTCCCATTTAGCTTGTGATTTGTTCTTTGTCAAGACTGTAGAAGCCACTGCTGCCCAGTTTCTCCTTAAGTCATCAAAGGAGTAATCTGCCAACAAGTGTGAAGATTTTAGCCACGAGACTGTCATTGTCATTATGCATTCCTTAATTTCAGCAAGACTTCTTTCCTTTTCTTGAAATATTCTGGCATTTCTCTCCTCCCATAAAGTCCACAAGGTATACATGATATAATACTTGAATGATATGGATTTTCAAAAATATGGGATAAGTTATAGAAGCATATATTTGTAATATATATTTATGTGACTGATAAAAATGCATACATATACATGTAATTGTGGCATTGTGCCACATTTCATTTTGTAATTTTTAAAAGATAATATATTAAACACATTTATTTTAATTTGTTGTTTTTACCATACCATCTACAACTGACTGAATTTTTGTTGAATTTTTTATTTGTGAAACTGAACTGTACACAAAGTTTCTAAGTAACATTTTTCCATGGTTCCTTTCTCCTTTTCCATGTATGCATCATGTACTCAATGCATCCATGCAACCTTTAGAATGTTGGGGCTTCCTGAGGAAATTTATTGTGTTTTTAGTATTACTTATTTGACCTTAATTTATACTTGTGTTTCACACAATGGGTTACCTGACCTTAACATGTTGGCAGTCAATTGACGGTTTTTCTAACAAATCTTTCTGTGTCAGGCCAATCATTATATTGCTTCCGTGTAGTATTTATGGTGTTTGCATGTGTATATACCCGCAAAATAATCTGTGTTGTTATTTAGGCATGAAAGTGTGAATCTACTAATACTTGATCTTTTTCGACACTATTTTTTCCTGTTAAAGGAAGGATAATAGAGTCACTTGCATTCCCTGTTTCCTATATCTTTATCTGTGTCTATATGCATCCAGGCATCATAGCACTTGGGTACCCCAGTCCTCCAGGTATAACAGGCTTCATTGTTCATAGGGACAAACAGTTATTGTGGGCATTTAGTGGCCTGATTGGTTAGAGGGGATGCCCATTCAAGTAGATGTGTTCAAGGAATAAGAAACAAGAATGGCTTTATCCCGGAATCCTTATTCCCTCCTTCTAGAAGGGGACTGTACAAAGATCATTAGATGGGGGAAAAAGGTTGTGGGAGGGGATATTGATAAAAAATGATAAAAAAAGGTTGTGGGGGGACTGTTGCTGCTATAAATTAATCTAAGTAGATGTGTTCAAGGAATAAGAAACAAGAATGTCTTTATCCCGGAATCCTTATTCCCTCCTTCTAGAAGGGGACTGTACAAAGATCATTAGATGGGGGAAAAAGGTTGTGGGAGGGGATATTGATAAAAAATGATAAAAAAAGGTTGTGGGGGGACTGTTACTGCTATAAATTAATCTAAAAAACGATTTGTCACCTTTTGACCTCCTCAACATCAGATTTCAGATTGGGTTCTTAGTGCTCTAAATACCAAAGTGGGTGGATTGGCAAGACTGCAGTGAATGGGGAGAGGATATACAGTGGGCCTTCACTGCTTGGGATTCTGCGTTTCGTGTTTAATATTGCATTAAGTTACCCTGCTTGCATGAATAGCAAAGAATCCAGGGATAGAGTCCATTGCTTGGTGCAATGGTAAAATCTCAGCCTGACAAGCATGAGAATACAGGTTTGAGACTTATGAACAACAATTTTGTGCAAAAGATGCTGAAGGTTTAGGTTCATATCCACAGTGCGAAGCACCCTCATCAAGACCCTGGATAGCGAGGACCAACATTGGGTAATGGCCCTAAGGAATTCAGGGATGTTCTTTCCCACCTGTATGGAGATTGTGTGATGTCTAGGACAGTGCGGCAAGGTTACCAAAACATTCCAACTATCCTCCCAAAATCTGATTTTACAATCATCGCCTATCTAATTCAGTAGGAGGAGCATGATCATTATCTTTTTATTTTATTTTGAAAAGCTCCAATTTGAGGGAGGTTCTGTTTGCAAGTTTTTATACTTGCTGTGGTTTGTGCATAGTGTGGCTGTGAAATGTAGAATTCCTTAGTATACAACAGGCAAATGTTATTTGTACGATGCATCTTTATATTGTTTGATATACATGTGAATCAGATAAAATATGTCCTCTGTTCTTTGTTTTTCAGGAGCAGCCATAATAAAGGTTGCTGCTTATGCCATTAGTATTTTAGTCTAGAGCTGGAAGCAATGCCTGGTTGAATGTTTAGCATAAATCCCTCTATATTTTCGTTATGTATGTAGAAATTGCTCCTTTTACAATTTATGCTTCTTATGTCATGCTGCTTCTGCCACTTCTACGTTTTTCTGTACCTTTCTGTTCCATTTATTTTCCTGTATACTGTGGCATGACAGCAAGCGGATCAGTGGTTTTGACATGGCCCCTCCTGCAACTGCAATGCTGGCAGCTGCTGCTGCAGGTATGTGACTTGTTTTTCTAATTGCATTTTGCCACTTCCGTTTCTATTTTTGCTGAATAACTTGAAAAGTTGTATCAATTGCATGCCATTATTTGGTAAGCCACACTATTTTTTTCCCACATTAACGGTAGTAGCAACTTTATGCTGCAATCTTTGGATGGGTTGTACTGTTTTTGTTTCAATTATTTACTTGGTGAACTAATTCAGAAACTGAGAGCCTTTTTTGGTTGTTTTCTTGTTTTTGGTGTTTGTTTGTTTGTTTCCGTGTCTATATGTTTTTGTAAGAAGGCAATGTTGGGCTACTTGTCCCACTGTGCTGCCAATGGGTGTGAGCCGAGTCCTGTAGCTTTTATGTACAAGGAGGAATCAATGCACTGGTTTGATGGATCTTGTTCGTCTTCAACCGGCACCTATTACCTGTTTTGGTAGTCTTACAAATATTACCTCCCGTATTTGATAATGATGTATTCCTTTTATATTCTTGATAAACTTCACAAGAAGATAGGGCATGCCTAAATCAGTGAGAACATATGAAGAAAAGTAGGAGGTGCAAGTTGATTTACACCTGCAATAGTAGCATAGCAGCATGATTTTTCTTTTCTTTGTACCAGAAAATAATTTAACTAGCTTTTGCAGGTCAGATGCCTGGGACTACTCCAACCATTCCTGGAATGTTTCCAAACATGTTTCCTTTGCCAGGGCAGGTACTTATATTTCTTTTCCACTGGAGAAAATATGTATATTGATCTGTTTTTAAATTTTGTTCCATGTTTCTTTGCATGTTGCAGTTTGGGGTCCCTGTGATGCCAGTTCAGGCTATGACGCAGCAGGTTAGGCAGAATTTTATATTTTTCTTTTTCCATTCTGAATTTTTGTGATATTATGTTTGGATGTGCCTTAAGAATTTTACTGATGCTGTTAGGCTACAAGGCATGCTCGGCGGGTGTATGTTGGGGGCCTTCCTCCTACAGCTAATGAACAAGTACTCACTCCAGCTTCTCTGATATAATTTCCACCTGGCTGTTCCTTTGTTATAGTGTTTAATTTTCGCACGAATTATTTTGTTTACACATGCCAGACATGTTAAAACTGTTTTCCAAAGTCCTTTCTAATTGCCTCATATTGTTATTGGGTGCAATGGCTTCTTGAACTGAACTGTCATGCTCTTAGTTCATTATTCTTTAATTTTCTGTGATATCTTATTTTTATCGATTAGTGATATTTGTTTATGGTTTACACTAAGAAGCGTTATGAAGTGGTCTCATATAAAGAGATGGAAGATCCTTGAGGGCAAAACCAAGCTTGCAGTTGAGTTAGAAGCTATGCTAACCGGATACAGCTCGATATGGTATTGGACATGAAATTTGCACTAAGAATTGAATTATCTGACATGATATTGGCACCCTTGTATAGGTATCTGGGTATCACAGGATCATCTCATCGTCATCGTTGTTGTTGTCATCCCTGTCCCAACTATATGGGGTCAGCTACATGATTCCTGTTCTACCATTCTGTTCTGTTCAAATATCATATCCTTTGTCAAATTATGGACCCTTAAATCATTTCTTACTACTTCAGCCTATGTCCTTTTTTCTGCCCACAACTCTTTTAGCCCCCTTCAACTTTTTAGAGATCACTTCTACCATTGTTGCAGATTCTCTCTTTGCGTGTGCCCAAACCATCTTAGTCCACTTTTCCTCATTTTATCACCTATTTGCAGCTATTCCTGGGGTTCTTTGAATAAGTTCATTTCTGATCCTATCATTACTAGTTTTCCCACTCATCCATCTCAACAACTCAATATCCATATTTCTACCACTCATTTTTTGGAGATGTTTCTTGATTTCCCAACAATCTGCTTTATACAACATTGCTGGCCATATAACTATTTTATGAAATTTTCCTTTTTGCCTGTGATATTCTCTTGTTACATAAGACTTCCTATGCTCTTCTCCATTTTGCTTATTGTGCTCTATTTCTGTGAGCAACATCCTCAATCTCTCCCTTGTTATTGATCATCAAACGAAGTAATGCAAGAAGTCACATTGAGATATCTCTTGGTCTCCAATCCCAAGTCTAACCTGATTATCACTCCTATTATTATTAAATTTATAGTGCATTTGTTCTGGTTTAGTTCTACTTAAGTACTTGTTTTAAAGCCTCTTGTTTCTAAGGTATTTCTCCACAGTTCTAAAATTTCATTTCATCCTTCTTTAGTTCTATCAATTAATGCTACATCATCAGCAAATAAAATGCACCATTAAACCTCCTCCTGAATATGTTTAATCAATTCATTCATGATTAGTGTAACTGAATAAGGGAATGAAATTGTGTTTGTTTTGGGAACCAATATACTTTATTTCAATCAAGAAGTTTCTGTAAAAATTTGGGAGCTAGAGTTTTGGCTCACAGCCTCAACTCTACGATTAAGGCATCTGAACAGTTCAAATTAGAATTTTATTGTAATCAATAAAGACTTTAATAATTTCAATGATTATGCGTTGGGGATTAATGGTAGACTTTATGGTTAGAGGTGTGCTAATGCTAATTATGCACTTAAGCGGCTTTTCCTTTTTGGGCTTTGTATTAATGTGCATGTGGTCTCTCAATGCATGATTGTTATTATTTTCTTTTAAGGGTTGGCTTTATATGACCAAGGAATGATTATTGATCACTGTTCACTGCAGTCTGTGGCCACCTTCTTCAGTCAGGTAATGGCTGCAATTGGAGGGAACACTGCTGGTCCAGGTTTGTGGATGTTTGCCCTTTCTGTTTTCTAAAAATTGGATGCAGTGATTATTATACAGTTGCTAATATCTTGATTTTTACAGGGGATGCTGTTGTTAATGTATACATCAATCATGAAAAGAAGTTTGCTTTTGTAGAGATGAGATCAGTTGAGGAGGCCAGTAATGCAATGGCTTTAGATGGTATCATTTTTGAGGTACGTGTTGTACTTTTCTCTAGATGGATTTTAGGGTTTTACATCCTGAAAGGAAGCTGAAGCAGGGAAAAATTATGTACTGGTTTATATCCAAGTGCCATTTATAAGGCTTGAGGTTGGCCAAGCAGTGGAGCTTTCACCAAATTGAGGTTGAAGGGGATTCCAAATTTACTAATTGGTTGGATGCAGTAAAACAATTTGGGGGCCTGGGCACATAGATAAATTATGAGGGAAATAAATTGCTTAGTAAGGGAGGTTGGGGTTTTGTTTTGGTGGACAAGGAGATTGGCAAATGGATTAGCTGATACTTTGGCAAAGCAAGGAACTTTCTGGGAGTTTGTTTTGGGCTGTTTTGTAATCTTGAAATAAATCTCTTAGGGTCAACACCCTTGTTTTGGGTGGTGACAGTGTACTCCTTTAAATGTTTCATTAATGAAAGTTACCATTTCCAATAGAAAAAAGTAGATACAGAGTCCTTTTTAATCTGTTGTATATTATGTTCATTGACCCCAAAACACATATACTCTCTTTCCTTATTTTTTTGGTATGAGGCATTTACACTTGGTATATGAAAGATCTCGTTTTCTAGAAATGAACAAGAAGCTGACCTCTGAAAGGTCTCTTTAAGAATAGGCAGCAATCTTAACCTGGTTGAATTGATTTTGTCTTTATCCAGGGAGCACCTGTGAAAGTAAGGAGGCCAAGTGACTATAACCCCTCTCTTGCTGCAGCACTTGGTCCAAGTCAACCCAACCCCAATTTGAACCTCGCTGCTGTTGGGCTGACACCTGGTTCTGCTGGTGGGCTTGAGGGTCCTGATCGCATCTTTGTCGGTGGGCTCCCCTACTACTTCACGGAAGCACAGATAAGAGAGCTACTAGAATCATTTGGGCCTTTAAGAGGTTTTGATCTAGTGAAGGACAGGGAAACAGGAAACTCTAAAGGATATGCCTTTTGTGTCTACCAGGATGTCTCAGTTACAGATATTGCATGTGCAGCTCTCAATGGAATAAAAATGGGAGATAAAACTCTCACTGTTAGGCGTGCAAATCAGGGTGCTTCCCAGCCGAAACCTGAGCAGGAGAATGTGTTATTGCAGGCACAGCAGCAGGTGGCCTTGCAGGTAAGATTCATGGATTGGTTTTTAGTCTGGTTGAAGTTCCTAAAAATTAACAGAACAGGCAAATAAATATGCCAGAAAATACTAGTTCATGCTCTACATATTGCATGGAGGCCTGTTGCTTCGAGTCATTGAATAGTTGGTAGTTGTTATGAATGTTTCCAACCCGCCTGTGCTTTTTTTTAATGTTTCACTTATTATTTTTTTTTTCGAAATTGGTTCAGAGGGGCCTATTTAAGGCCTGGCTACCCTCTGAATCAGTGGCTGACCCGACCCCAGGCGGGTAAATCCCATTTCAGGATTTTGGTCAGAAATTGTTAACTTGGTCAAAACCCATCGACCCAGGCAGTTGAACTATTGGCTCACTTGACCCAGTAATTGGGTCACAGGTTACAAATATAATTTATATGAAAATTTCCAAAGGCAATCATTTTGTGCTCAGTGGTCAGTGGGGTGATCTTTTTTTCTTAAATTTTGGGTAACTTTTTACAATCTGTGTTCCAAGGAGTTGAAGGTGCCTTGGCCTGCTATTTTTGCCAAAAAAAAAATGCCTTTTTGCCCTCAAATCTTAATTTTTAATGTATAAAAATTAAAGCTAAAATAAATGTCATATGTAGAATATAATTATATATTTTGAATGTCTATAATTAATATTATTATATATTATATAACTATGAATATTTTATTGTACTATATATCTTTATGATGATATGTCATGGGTTGATACATTTTTTTTTCTGAATGTCACGGGTTGGATAAATTCAATCTGGGCAGTTGAATCGGTGACCTGCGACCTGGAGGGAAAAATGGTTGAGCTTCCTGGTCGATTTTTTTAAACACTGGTTATTACTAGAAGGAAAGAAAAATAATGAAATAGCAGCCTATACAATTCTACTCCATCCAGATTTGTTTACTATACTAATTGATAAAAAAAAAGATTTGTTTACTAGTCTAAGCTATAAGCAGACCTGTCTCCTTACATAGTAGCTTTATGATTACAGAGTTTATCAAAAGTAGTGCCAATAAGAAAGTGTAACAAGTTGTTCGGTTCTTTGTGCATGTGAAGTTTAACTTGGGTAAATTAGTGTAGCAACAACTATATGTATAATGTTTTGGTCTTTCAATCAAGTTTCCATGTCAAAAGTTTGTTGATAATGTTTTTAATTCTGTGCCTGATTTTCTTTTGACTTGTTACCTGAGTTGTAGCCATAGAGGTATCTGTTTATTGTCTAATTTATTGTTATTGTTTGCCTTTGCAGAAGCTTGTGTTCCAAGCTGCTACACTTCCTACGAAGGTTGTCTGTTTAACACAGGTAGTAAGTGCAGATGAACTAAAAGATGACGAGGAGTATGAAGACATAATGGAAGACATGAGAGGAGAAGGCGGGAAATATGGTAAACACCAGAAACTATGTTCATTTTTATTTCTCATATCTTAACCCACATTGTGCTAGAGTATTAGGTCTAATCCTCACACTGAAGACTCCATAAGCTTTACTCATCTAACTTTTCCCAGAGGTTTTTGTATTTCTCCATTGTGTATCCTCTGATCATTCTTAACAACTTTAAGCATTCAAAATTTGACGTTCATCTTGGCAGGTGCACTGGTGAATGTTGTAATTCCACGTCCAAATCCAAATGGTGAACCATCACTTGGAGTTGGGAAGGTTAGTAGTAGGACTTTAATCTTGTAATCCAACTCCATACTGGAAAACACAACTGCAGTTCCTTCTAAATTTTAAGTGATGCTAGTGATTGTGCCATTGTTAATTCCCTAATATGATTTGCTGCAAGGCGATTAGTGGAAGATTATGAGCAAAGTGCAAATACCAAGTCTTATTTTCTTTCTATTCTACTACTAAAGGAGTGCTTCTGTTTGACTCCCTTTCTTCCAGGTGTTCTTGGAGTATGCCGATACTGAAGGGTCTTCAAAGGCCAGACAAGGACTCAATGGTAGGAAATTTGGTGGAAATCAGGTTGTGGCAGTCTTCTATCCAGAGAATAAGTACCATCAGGGTGATTATGATGGCTAGTTTGCTCGCTTCGTCGTCATTGCGCAGCCTCGAAACTCCTCCGTTTCTCGCCTCTTACTGTAACATAAACATTCATGACATAAACATGGTATCTTTATTTTCAGTGTTTCTTAGTACAGGGACGGGTAATGTTTTATTAGCCAAAGTGACTAGTATACCTTTTTTTTTGAGGGAGGTAACTAATTTAACTAGTATACTTAGAGCGGTCGAATCAGTTATGTTAAATTGGTTTAATTTCCTTCTGGCCCATTATACCATTAACATTCGATATAATAGTAGTATTTTATTATACACCGTCCGCTACAATTGTGCAGTCAGTGGGTGAGAAATGCTACTGTTCTCGTTTTAAGGTGCCACAGCGTTACTGATACTAAATCAGAGAAAAGGAGCTAAACAAGTGCACCTCTGTACTCTTGCGAAAGCCACCTGTATTGAATGTGTGGCCAATTCCATTACAGATTACAGACCGTGCACGAATCCCTGGGCCAGCTGTTTACCTTCCTATTTGGTTGGGATTTGGGAAACCGCCATTTGCTTGGTTTAGGTTAAAAAAAATACGCAAAACGAAATGCTCATATTCTCATTAGGCTCAGTTTGGAAAGAGTATAAATACAAATATGATAAGAACTTTAGTCTTGGCCTTTAGGGGTTACGCATTGTCAGTGTTTCAAGTAATATAAGATGTTTCCAATGCGGGGCTGGGACATGATGTGATATGCAAGGTGCCACCCAGCTGATCTGGGAGTCTAGTCCAATCCCGCTTGCACTTGGGTTGGGGATGGACCATGGTTTTTAAAACCCGACCGGATGGTTGGACCAAAAAATTGGGAACTGGTCAGGTGACCGGTTTTGGTTTTCTCCAAAACCGGAAATTTACTTAAAACCGTTGATTTTGGTCAACCGTTTATCTGGGCGGTTAACCATTTGAACCGTTCAAATGGTTTTGACTGTTTTTATTTTTTAGTTTTCTTTGTCAGAATGGGCTGACTGTTTGGTTCGAATAATTGGACTGTTTGACCCAGTAATCAGACTCCTGTCCGGTTTGGTCTCCAGGTCGTATTTAAAAACCATGGGATGGACTATACCCCTGTTGTGTAGCCTTTCAAAAGATTTAAAGCAAAAAAAGATATCCGTGAGGAGCAGATTCAGATTCATTAGTTCATATAGCCTAGTGATGAAAGAAAGCCTATGGATCCAGTCCAAACCTCTAAGCCCAACCAATTTGTAAGGTCCAGCTATCTCCTTTGGATCCTATCTTTACCCTTGTGGGGAATTTCTTTGTTAGTGGGTGGGCTTCTAGGAAAATATTTAAAAAGCTACTCTTTTTTTTTTGTATTAACCACTATCAGAGATCCCCATAGGGGTTGTTACTCCTTTTAAGTGAACAATACAATATCATCATCTATTTTCTTACAAAGATGATAATAGCGAGATTTGAAACTGTACCTACTTGGACAATTCATCTTACACGCCAATTGGCTACCCCTCGGTATTTAAAAGCTACTTAGGATATATTTAAAAATGGTCCCACGTCAAAACTGGTTGTTAAGGTGCAAGAATTTATTAGATAAAGAAATTTGGGGAAACCCTTTTCTGCAAATCCAACTCTCCGATGAATAACTGAGGCACTGGTCACTATAAGCGATGCAACAAATAAAGTATGTTTAATTTATTCTATTGAATCCAAGGTTTTTAAAATCAAACTAGATAAGGAATCGTTCTGGGGACCAGTTCCCGAATCGAATGGCCTGATTTTCTGGTTCAAACAGACGGTCTGTTTTGACTTAAAAAAAAATTAAAAATAATTAAAAATGACAAACTGTTGTTTGGGTTGATGGTTCAACGATTCACCCGCCCATGTCAATGGATCACTAACAAAATCAATAGTTTCTTGCCAAAAAGCGGTTTTAGGGTGAAAACAAAATTGGTTACCTGACAAGTTCCCAGGCTTTTTAGTTTTGAAAACCATGGTTGAATCTGTTCGAGTGGTCGATGATCCATGCTCACTGATGTCCCTCTGAAAATGGTGCAAACCTATCTAACTGTAAACTCTCTACGGTAATGTGCTAAGGCCCATTTTGTTCGTTGGAATAGAGGTTTAGAATTCCGATTCCAATTATTTGGTTGGGCGGAATCAAAATCCCATCCTGGTGGAATGGCATTCCTCTATTTGGGGGAATGACCATTCCCTCCTCCCTTGGGAATGAAATCCCATTCCAACTGATTCTAATTTTCATTTATATTCCTGTTTGAACCAAATAGACTATGTGAATAGACCATACCAATTCCAATTCCAATTCCAATTCTAATTCCGATTTTGATTGTGAACCAAACAGACCCTAAGGTCTGTGGACCTTCCCTCACCCACACCAAAAAATAAATAAAAATCAGTAGGTGTTGATACAATTTTGATGGGATTCCAGATACATGTTTCCTTGACGTTGATAGAAAAAAGGATTTTAATCCCATAGTAATTTTTTATTGTTTTTATAGTGTTTTTTCTTATACTCTAATTTACCGGTATATATACATGTATATTTATGTGTATAGGTATGTATAAACATGTATTTTATCAACAAATAATGCATAATTATGTTATACATGTAATATATGTATTATTTTATATTTAACATTTAATTTATATTTTTTATTTTTTTATTTTTAAAAACATTAAAAATTGCAAATTGAGGCCAAATGGATTTTTTTTTTGGCGAAAATAGCAAGGCAAAGCATCTACATCCCCTTGGCATGGATAGATTTCACCCAAAATAAAAAAAAAGATCACTTTAATCGGACATCGGAGAGCAAAGTTATGGCCTCCTGAAGTTTGCATACACATTTAGTATACAACTCGTGACACAATCACCATGTTGAATGGTCCAACTGTTTGGTTCGGTGTTTTTTTACCAAGCCAGTGGATTTTTACTATTCTCCAGGTTTTACTAAAATTGGACATGAAATATTGATTGGGTGATGGTTCAAATGGTTTAACTGATCTGATCAACGACGAGTTGAAACATTGTGCTAAGGTCTATTAACCTTATCACAGGAACCGGTAGTTATGATGGAAGAGAAAAATTGCAAAGGATTGTTTTCTATCGTAGCAATAAAGAGGACATGTGTTTATTTTGGTTTCTTAAGTTATGTTTAAACTTTGATTCTATAAACTAGTTGATGAACCAATCCTTACCAACTAGAGAAAAAATGGTAGAAAGATCTTTTTAGGCACTAATTGTACCAAATAGACCTTAAACCTGGGAGCGCTCTCCCTTTTCTTGGTCATTTGCAACTCTCCAAAAGAAGGAAATGCCCGAAATGGTTTACTTTGATGAACCTTTTGTTCAACCCTGGTCTTTGTAGGTGATTTTCCTATCAAATTAGGGGTGCAACTTGGGCGGGCCCAACCCAATTCCATACCAATCCAATTACAATTTTACACAAGTTAGATTTGGATTTTCAATCCTCAAGCTAGGCCTTGGCCCATAACTTAGGGCCTTTTAATTTTTAAGTTGGGCTCAAGCCTAGCCTTTAGGTAGCCCAAGTCCTATTAGATTTATCAATCCTGTTCAAATTGAGCCTGCCCCAACTACATACATACATACATACATACATACATACATACATACATACATACATACATACATATTTCCATACATACATATATACATACACACATGTATATCAAATTTCATTGTGGGTTGATTGGCTAACAAGAGGCCACTTAAGTGCAAGCCCATCCTGGACCCCAATCACATGTAATGCACCCCATGTGAACAAGGTACAAGGATCCCTGCCCCACCCCAACCATTCCTACCAACAATCATGTTTTTTGAAAAAAAACATATTATATAAATGTTATATATACTAATAATATGTATTATAGGTTTCATATTATAATATATAGGGCAAATCAAAGTATCATTAGTTTTTCTTAAATCCCCATGCGACACCACGTGACCCGTTATCCGTTCACATGTGACACCATGTGACCCATATATTTTTCTCAAATCCTCATAATACCCTTTGTGGTCGAAAATGCCCTTTTCAGCTTGGTCTCTTCGAACCTTGGGCTTTGCAACAAGTGGCTCATTTTTTTTTTTTTTTGTCTCAGGCCAATGGAGATCACCAACTTCAAAGCCAATGGCTACTGGTGCCCACACAAAATCAACAACAATTTTTTGGCTAGAGGAGAGGGTGCCCAAATATCTAGCGAGAAAGATGATGTATTTGTTTGATATAGCTTCCATTTATTACATAAACATTTGTACTTTATTTATCTTCAAAACCGAGAAAAGTACTTGATAAACCTTTTATTGACAACTAGGCGCCACTAAGCGCCATTAGGTGCTGCATCAGGGGTCGAGTGAATAAATGCTCAATCGTTGGGGGAAGCGTTAAAATAAAGATTCCCCCAATGGTTGGTGCACACAAATCAAAACCCACTTTTGTGAATATCAATGCATACGGATAAATATAATGAGAAAAATGTTGATTTGGCACATAGAACAAAAACACACAATATGGCATGACTGAGGATAAAATAGGAGAAAAAGCACGGGGGCTTTCACATCTGACGGAGCCGTCCTTGTCCAAGAGAATTTCTGGTAAAGACAAACAAAACATAAAAGTATTGACAAAGCAACAAACAACACAACGATTGACGTGATAAGAAGAAAGTTGGTTGATCTGTTGTGAGTTGGTTTAGAGAAGGGTGGAGGTGGAGGTGGAGCAAAAGCCATGGTGAAACCTAAATGGTATAGCCAATCAACATAGATCCACGATAATTGACTCAAGGAAGTAGAAGAAGAAAAGAAGTTATGAAGGGGAACAAATTCTCCCTTCCTCTTTTCTGATATTCTCTGCTAATCCTCTCTTCTTCTCCTTTTATTTCTTTTGTTGCTATTTGTTGTCGATAGATATCAAACAAGGGACTAAATGAGAAATATTTTTGTTTAGTTCTGGTCAGAAGTTCAATCTTGACCGATTTTATTTGCTTTGGACAAGTTAAAATGGAAATATTTTTTTCTTTGGTTTAATGCATCAAACAGGGGTCATAATGCCATGAGTTTCAAAATGTGAGTTCCGGGTTAGATAATTCTTATGCTTTCACTAACATTTTGAGAAGAATCGAAGGATTTGTTGGCTATTTTTAATCGATTCTGATGCAACGCAATCCGGACACTCCTATTTGGCGGTCGACTAGCTCCTATCTGGCGACAAACGGTACTTGAGAAAAAGGCGGTGAAGGATTCTCGGGGGACTTACCCGGTGGGAATACTCCGATGCTTAAGTT